GGGATTTTTCAGTGTAGGAAAAAGATAAATAAGCAAATAAAAAAGCAATCTCAGGAGAGGCAATAAATGAGGTAGAATAGGCAGATGCAAGGATGTTCCTTTACAGGTGGATGAGGGAAAGCACATGTCAGTGCTGTTAGGCAGAATCCCACAGGAAATGGCCATGCAGACACGCAACTGGGAAGGTCTGGTGTGAGGCTGTTTGGGTGGCGCAGCACCCTGAGGCTGGCAGCTGGCCTGAGCAGCACCTGTCAGAGATAGCAGAGGAGCTGTGGCCTCTGGCAAGATACAGTCAGCGGAGCCATCAAGGAAGGCTGGGAAGGAATGTCCCCTCTAGACACCTCCATCTCCTGCCGGTGGCTCCCAAAGGTCTATGAGGGGAAACCAACCAGCAGGAGAGCCCACAGATGGAGCCTACCAGGCCAACCTCCAGAGGCACAAATAGGGTGGGCAGCAGGTGAAAGTTACGTGGAGAAGTCAGCAGAGAGCTCCAACTTGGCTACAGAGCTAAAGGAAACAGGAGTGGAGGTGGATGGTCAAGCAGGACCCGTGTGGAGAAACAGGTGGCAGCAGGAGAGGTCGGGGCAGCATAGCCAGATGATGTGCAGTGTGAAAGCCCTGAGAAGACTTCTCCCCCTCTGAGGACAACAGCTAGGGAGTGTTTCCTGCTGAGGTGTGAGGCCTGACACTCCCTCTGGGACAACGAAATCAAGGCTAGAAAGTGAGGTTTAAAAGCAGTGCTATGACATTTACAGATGGACTGGGGTAAGGGATCTGAGAAAGAATTTAGGGGAACTCCAATGGCTTTGGCCTGAGCAGCTTAACGGATGGATTGCTATTTATAGATGGAAGGGAAATGGAGAGGAACAGGCTTAGGGGAACTCGAGAGTTTCGTTTAGATGTGTCGAATCCAAGATGGTACGGAGATACAAATGAAGGTCTGAGTAGGCAGCAGTGCAGGGGGAACTTGGGCTAGACCCAAGTTGGGGATGAACAGGGCATCACTGACATCTGCCATCACGGGACTGTAGAGACCATGTAGGGAGTGAGTGTGGGTGGGTAGAAAGGAAGTCCTAGTTCTGAGCCATGGCCTCAGCGGTTGTGCAAGTGGAGAAGAATCAACAGAGGGAGAAGCTGAGGGTGCAGTGGGGGAACCCGGAGAGGGTGATGTACTGGAAATCAAATGAAGAACTTGCACCAAAGGGGAAGTATCTGCTGCTCCAAAACGAAGGCAATGAAGGTACGGAGACATACAGCCTTGATTTCAGAAGTAGGAAGTGAACAGATACCCGCAAGATAAATCAAGCAACAGCAACAATGTCTGTTATCTAGAAAGATGAAGTAAAACCTAAAGAAATAGCTAAGGTTGCTGAAATAGTTGCCCTGCAGGCGTGGGAAGGGAGTGGAGTCATGTGCAGGGGCCTTCTGTTTTTCATAAGCTCAAAATGACATGCTAACCCCCTGCGTGGGAAATCTAGCACATCAGAGTGCCAGTTCAAGTTTGGGTTCCTGTGCTTCAGATCCATGTTCCTGTTAACGTTTCCTGGGAGGCAACGGAGGGCTCAAGTGACTTCTGCCGCTCCGGGGGAGACCCAGGTAGAGCTCCAGGCTCCTGGCTTTGGCCAGCTCAGCCCTGGAGATTGCAGGCATTTGAGCACTGATAATGGAAGAAGTTCTCTCTCTCTTCCTCCTCTCTCACTCCTTCCCCGTGTACGTGCAGTGTTTGTGTCACTCTAAATGAAAAATTATCTAAGAAAATACACCCCCAAATGCACACATTTAGGTGCTGCTACTTTCACAATGTTACAAAGCACACTTGAGCAAGCACTTCCCTGAGAAATTCCTAACATGAGAATGACTGGGACAAAGGGCAAATGCTGTTCCCAAAGACTGTGCTAATTAATTAACACTTCCACTGGGATGAGAGTTCTCTTACCCCAAGTCCCTATCAATGCAAGATACTTTTCTTCACTCAGATCAGGTTCTCCTCCTAAGCTTCATGTTTTAATCTTTAAGGATAATATAAAAAAGCATGAGTACATCAGGGTGAGGGTATCATTTTATCACAATTGCCAAGTTTTCCACATTTTATGGTAACCTCTCTCTGGGAATAAACTTTCCTTATTTATTCAAAAGACACAGAGGGATAGAGACCTTCCGTGTACAGGTTAATTCCCCCAAAAACCTGCAACAGGTAAGGCTGAGCCAGGCTACCCTCAAGAGCCTGAAACTCAATTTGAGTTTCCTTGTTTGGTGACAGAGACCCAACAGCTAGAGTTGTGACCTGTCCCCTCCCAGGGCACACACGAGCAGGAACTCAGATCGGAAGGAGAGGACATGGGACTAAAGCCAGGCATCCCAGTACAGGACACCGGCATCCCAACCTGTGTTTGTCCTGCCCTGTCTCCTAAATTTTCTATAAACATTTATCTGTCCTACCTTAAATTTTAGAGTATTTGTAAATTTTTATGCTTGTACCTAAGAAAGTTCCTGACATCTTTCCTATCTAATGATTAAATGTTTGAAATCCATTCTATTGGAAAGGCAGATTTACCGAGAAAGACAGACCCTCCAACTGCTTATTCACTTCCCAAGTGGCCAAAGCAGCCAGAGTTGAGTCAATTCGAAGCCAGGAGCTTCTTCCTGGTCTTTCATTTGAATACAGAATCCCAAGGACTTGGACCATCTTCTGCTGATTTCCCAGGTCACAAGCAGGGATGGGAAGTGGAGCAGCCAGGACATGAACTGGTACCCATGTGGCTTGCTGGCATCTGCAGGGTGAGGATTCAGCCAATTGAGCCATCATACTAGGCTCTATTATTTTAAGTTTTTAAAGTATAAAGAAAAATGTTCTGCTGGTTTTTAATTTTATTAACTTGTACTTGAGCATATGCTTCCTATAATTTCAACAGGTTTTGTTGCTGTCAGATACGCTGACCTGCTTTTTGTTTTTCCCTACATAACCACTTCCTCCACTTATTACTCCTCAGTCATTGTAGTCCTTACTGCTGGGTTCTTCTTGGGCTTTATTCACTTTCCTTTGGAAACTTTCATTCACTTAATTGTTACGTTTTTATTTATTAACTGTTTTTAATGCCCAGAAACACAAGTCTTCCAGTCCCAGGTTCACTTTCCAAATGCCTACAAAAGCCAGGTCCTAGCTGTTGAGACCAAAGCCAGGAGCCCAGAACTCAATTTGACCCCAATGCGGATGGAAAGAACCCAAGTACCTGATCTTTGACCTGTTGCCTCCCAGGGTGTGCATTGTCAGCAACCTGGACTAGGAAGAGGAATCAGGGCTTGAACCAAAGCACTCCCATGTGGGATACAGTCCTCCCAAGCAAAGTCTAAGCAAAGTCTACACTGCTATAGCAAGAGTCTACCTTTTTTTATTCATTTAAAAAATCGTGTTTTAGGAGCCAGTGTTGTGGTAAAGCAGGTAAAGCCACATCCTGCCATGCTGGCATCCAATACAGGCACTGATCCAGCTCCCTGCTAATGTGCCTGGGAAAGCAGCAGAAAATGGCACAGGCACTTGTGCCCCTGCACCCATAAGGACCAGAAGCAGCTCCTGGGTCCCGATTTCAGACAGGCTCAGCTTCAGCCACCATGGCCATTTGGGGAGTGAATCAGAGAATGGAAGATCTCTCTTTTCCTATGTCCTTCATATAAAAAAAATAAATCTTTTATGTGTGAGTACACATATATATGTGTATGTATACACACACATATATAAACTCTTTATTTTTAGAAATTATTTATGTGCCAATACTGTGGTATAGTGGGTAAGCCTGCAGTGCCAGCATTCCAAATGGGTGCTGGCTCAAGTCTTAGCTGCTCCACTTCCCATCCAGCACCCTGACATGCTTGGGAAGGTAGTAAAGGATGGCTCAAGTGCTTGGGTCTCTGCACATACATGGGAGATCCAGAAGCTCCTAACTCCAGGCTTTGGATGACTCAGCTCATCGTCGTGGCCATCTGAGCGGGTAGAACCAGTGCATGGATGAGTTCTCCGTAAAGGCAATGTTACAGAGACAGAGGGAGAGATCACCCCTCTCCTGGTTCATCCCCAATAGGCCAGCAACAGCCAGGACTGGGTCAGGTCAAAGCCAGGAGTTTCTTCTGGGCTTCCTGTAGGTGGCAGAAGCCCAAACTTTAGGGCCATCATTTTTCACTGCTTCTCTTAGGCCTTCATCACAGAGCTGAAGTACAAGTAGAGCATCTAGGACTTGATGGTTGTGTAGGATGCCAAAGCCACAGGCAAGGTTATACCAGCGTCACTACCACATGGGAGTCTTACTTCCACTTTCCAAATAAATAGCATATAGCTGGATTATTTTCTCCTGATTAAACAATTTTAAATGCCCAACTGAGAGATGTTATTTACTCTTATTCTAGTAAGAGTAGATATCAAATCTGGTTGAAAATAATCTAAATTTTTTTTCTTGTAGCTGCTCTGTCAAGTTTTAAATTGCTCATTAATAATACATTTCAGTTGCTTTAAAAATCATATTTCCAACATAAACTAGACTATCACAGATGTTTTACCACTTACTAATACAGTCGTTTGGGACTGGTTTGTGATACAGCACATGAAGCTGTCACCTGCGACATAAGTATCACATGTGGACATATCAGTTCAAGCCCCAGCTACTCCACTTCAAAAAAGCTCCCTGCTAATGTGCCTGGGAAAGCAACAGAAAGCACTTTAGGTAGCATGTATGACAATAATAAAAACACTTTAAAAACTGTGATTTAGTTACTCCTGTTTATAAAGGAAGAAGCAAAGTTCTGAGGCATGGTGCAGCATCTGGATTTAGGCTGAGCAACGGAGATTAAAACCTCTTAACACTGCTGTGTTTCCCCACTTGGGGGAAACCTCTGACAGCAGCTTCCTGACTCCATGGTTCCTACAAACCCAGAACACAACCTGACACTTTCACCCACATACCTGCCCCTCCCACACATTAATAACCTACTTATTTCTCATCTCTCCCAAGCCATCAAGACTACCACTCAAAGAACCAAAAGGAGGACCACCACTACAGCTACCACAACCACTACAACCATAACAGCCACTACAACCACCATCAGGGTCACAGTGGGCAGAGAGCATCCAGGATCACAGCTGAGTCTGGAAGCTGTGGTCGGGCTGGTAGTGGCCACTACTGTGCTCATAACTGCCATTGTGGCACTGCTGGTCTTCGTCAGGTGGAAGAAAAACAAAGGTAAGCAGTCCAAAACACCATCCCCGACACCCAGGCTGCCCAAATACAAGACTGTCAGACTCACCAGCACCACAGTCACTCAGGGCAGCTCCTGCAACCACGTGTCAGGATGGTCCAATTCCACTAAGTCACGAACTGTGGCCTGTGCTTGGGGACCCATATCTGTCACAGGCTCCTCAAGTGTGGGTTGTGGGAGATGCAAGTGGGAACCACCCATCCTGCCACACAGTCCCACCACTTGCCATGTATCTCTTGCCTCCATTCTCCTCCATCCTCTCCTTTGGTTCACTGTTAGGAGTGGGGGTTGGGAGTTGGTGGGGACCTGCACTGGACAAGTGAGGTGACAGCAGAAGGGACACAGAGTTGGCCCAGCTCAGCTCAGCAAGCTCTGGGTGAAGCCCCCAACCAGGGCCTGGCTCCACACCAATATACAACAGTAGATGCAGCACAGGCTGCCTTGGGGAACTCAGCTGGTGGAGGGACACGGGTCTTGGGGTCAGAGAGCTCATTTGTAAAGGGCTTCAGTTGCAAGAGTGGGCACCTGGAACGACTTCCCACAGGAAGTGACAAAGACAAAAATTCAAAGAACAAAAAGTGAGCAGTAGTCATTTGGCATCGTGGTGGTTCAATGCCTCTTAGGATGCCCACCTCTCACACAGCTGTGGCTGCGTTCAAGGCCATGGAAGGCAGCAGGTCATGGACCCAGCACACAGCTTCCTGCCACCCTGTGGAGGAGCCTCCCTGGATTCCTAGACATTGCCTTTGTCCTGGCCCTGACACAGCTGGGAAAATGGGAATTCACCAATGGGAAGGAACACTGCCTCCTTGCTTCTCAGTCACCCTGGATTCTGAACAAATAGGAAGTAAATGGACTCCAAGCAAACAGAAGAATGATCAGGGAGCAGGCAGGGTGCTGCAGAGGCCACTCACTGGCCTTCCAGGAGCAGACCCACTCCTGGAAATGCAGGGGTGCCAGGGCTGGAGGCAACGCAGGAGCAGAGAGAGAAGTTCCTGACTCTCACACCTAAGAGCTTTCCAGGGCCAGAGACAGAGAGAGCTGGAAAGGGGCAGCCCCAGTTCCAGCTGTGGACACGGTGCCGGGCTGCAGCAGAGGGGCCACAGGTGGGCAGGCACACGGGGGGAAGGGTAGGCCCTAGAAAAGCTGAAGCAGTAAACCCAAGAAGGGGGTGATGACTAGACTGACATGGCCATGAGGGAGTGGGGTGAGTCCCACATTCCAACCCAGCTGAACGAGGCTGAGAAAAAAAATGACTAAATGGAAAGTACACAGGGAACAAAGCAAGCCCCTGTGTCCAAGGCACAGATGCCGCCTCCAGCTTGGGTCCCCTCACACTGGAGGTGTTGGCCTGACTCTGAGCAGAGTCCACCAGAAAGTCAGATGTGTGTACTTCCAGCTCAGAGGAGAGGTCAGGGCTGCAGCATTCACTGTTCATGCCCCAACATCCTCCTCCTCTAGCAATGACTCTGAAGTCAGTGTCCATCTCAACTCTGGCTCAGGCCACTTTGAAGCATCTCCTGTCCCATCAGCTCTTGACGCACAAAGGGGCAGAGACTGTCGTCTGACAACCTGCAGGCACCCTGGCGTCACTGCCCATCAGGGAAGCTTTGGTGCCAGGTACAGATGAGCAGCCCCAACCCCAGGTGGGGTGGTTCTGAAGGCCACGGCAGCACAGTTAGATCCTGCAGAGCAAGCACTGTGACCATGAGCACGCACAAGGAGTAAGCTGCAGTCACTAAACTGATGATGCCATAGTCACATGCTAATGAAGAGATAAACCCAAGGAAGGAAGGAGAGAAATCCAGATAAATCCAGATAAAAACACACAAGATGCTTGTGGTTAATTAGCACATAAGTTAGTTCTGATAGACTAAAAATCCAGCTTTTTTAATTCAATCATGAAACAGGCCATTCCATACATATAGCTCAAAACACTTGGCTGCCAGATGGGAGAAAGGTAAATTTGTAACATTCACTCTTTTCTCCGAATTTACATCAATATTAACTCCACAGTTATCAAATATTTAAGTGAGGAAATAACTGACCATAGCATTACAAGAAAAACTGTGAGACTGTTTTATAACAGAAGAGTAGAGAAAAATCTGCCCCCTGAAGACAGAAAACCCAAGTTACAGTAGTCATCCCGAATCCAAAAGGCTGGCAGGCATTGAAGGGAAATCTGACAGCCACAAGGAAGTGTGGTGCACAGATTCCACTCGCTGAGGAACCCACACCTGTACAAGCCTCTTATGTTTGGGGTTTCACAACAGTTTTAACCATTTGTGTTTACAAACCTTACAAACTTGTGTTGATAAGGAACTGTATTCAGCTACCAGTACCCAAGATGAGAAGCACCAGGGGCTTCAGTAAGACTTTCTCTTCTAAAAGGATCTGAAGGCAGACATCAGAGGCCACCAACCTTAAGCACTCAGGCTCCTGCCTATCTGCTTCCAGGTCCTTCATCTTCATCATTTTTGAGTTTCAAACTAGAAACAAAAAAAAAGAGGACAAAAAGGATTATGTCCCAATCACCTGTTTATCCTACTAAAGAGCCTTCCTGAATGTTCCACTCACAATTTCTATTGTATCTTATCAGGTAGAATTTAGTCCTCCATGTCCTGCATCTGTCTGTTGGGGAACACAATGCCACCCCAAACAGGGATCAACTTTCTGTCATGTAGCTTAAAAGACTCAAAGGATACTAGGATGGTCAGCAGCACTCCCTGCCATCCAGGATTTGAGACTTGTCAGCCTAGAACCACAGGAAGCCAAGGAGTTAGTGAGGCAGCATGAATACAGAGAAGGGTCAGCAGGCAGCTAGATGAGTGGAAACAGAGTGTGTTGTCAAGGAACATGAGTTCATTGAAGTTACAAAGCAGTTGTAGAGGAATAATGACAAAGACAGCTGGAAGACTTTCAAGCTCATTCTATGCAGTCAGCTGTATCCTGGAGCCCAAGCCCGACACAGACACTTTGCCTGCTACCAAAGTGGAGGGGTGGGCTGGTGGAGAAGCTAATGCCAACATTCTTGAATGCTGATACAAATCCTGAACAAAATACCTGGAAGTCATACTCAACCACCCGTTAAAAGGGTTATACACCATAAACAGGTCGAATTTATTCCTGAAATACAAAGTTGGCACAACACATAAAAATTAGCCAACAGGGGTTGGTGCAATGGCATGACACACTCATTCTCCAACTGGGTTACAAGCATCCTAGAGGGGTGCCAATTCATGTCCTAGCTACTGTATTTCCGATCCAGCTCTGTGCTTATGACCTAGGAAGGCAGCAGAGCATGGCCCAGGTACTTGGGCTCCTGTGTCCACATGGGAGCTCTTGGCTCCTGGCTTTTGATCAGTCTAGCTCTGGCCATTGTGGATATTTGAACTAGCAGGTAAACGATCTCTCTGTCCCTCTCTAATTCTGCCTTTCAAATAAAAACAAAAACATTATTTCAAAAAATCAGTCAATATACTGCATTAACAAAGAACAAAGGCCACCTGACACACTACTGATGCAGAAAAAGCACTGATAAAAATCAGCACCCTTTCATAATAAAAACAAACCAGAACGAAGGAAAATACTTCGGCATAATAAAGGCATTATGAAAAGCTCATAATTAAAACCACTCCGCAAAATATCACCTTTAAGATCAGGAATAAGGCAGGGATGCCATCATTCCATTCAACACAGCACTGCAGGTCTAAGTCAGAGCAATTAAGCAAGGGAAAAAAATTAGTTATTCAAATTGGACAGGAAGAAGTAAAAGAGTATTTACATGTGACAAGTTTTATATGGTGAAAATTCCATAAGACATCTATTAGAACTAATGAATGAATTCAATAATACTGTAGGATTCAAAATTCAATAATCAGAAATCAATATTTTGTTATGACACCAAAAACACAATTCTCCTCCCCTCAAGAAAAGATAGGCTAAAAGAACTGTATCACACATAAAGATTTCATCAAAAGACACTATTAACAGAATGAAAAGGGAACCTACAGAACTGGAGAAAATATTTGTAAAACACGCGACAAGAGGTTAAAATCTAGCATACAAAAAGCTTCTACAACTCACACCAAAAATCAAATATCCTGATTTAGCTGGGGTTGGGGCAGGAGGGTGTGATGGAGGTATGATTGATGGGACACGTTGGATCTAGCAGCTGGGCAGCCTGCATTCCATATTAGAATGCCCAAGTTCAAGGCCCATGTCCAGTTCCTGAATTCTCAGGGGCAGCAGGTAACTGGTTCCCTGTCACCCAGTCTAGGACTCCCACCTGGCCTTGCTCTGGCACTGTCATCTGGGGAGTGATGAGGCAGACATTTGGTTTAGGGGTTAAAACAATAATTAAGACACCAAGGTTCCATATCAAAGTATCAAGGTTCGATGCTCCACTCTGGCAGTAACTAGTTCGTGCCACCATGTGGCAGACCTGTACTGACTTTCCAGCTAATAGCTGTGGCTTCTGCCCAACCCCAGCCACTGCAGGCATCTGGGGAGTAGAGCTGATGGGGGCTCTCTCCCTGCCTGTGTCTTTAAGCCTCTCAAATAATCTTATTTAATGGGCAAGGGATGTAAACAGGCATTTCTCTAAAGATGGCATATAAATAGAAAGCATGAAAGAGGTTCCACGTCACTCATCATCAGAGAAATGCAAATCACAACCACAATCACATACCATTAGGATAATTACTATTTTTAAAAACAAAACAAAAAGAACAGAAAATAACAAATTTGACCAAATTGTATACTAATTTAAGAAGTTGCAACTCTTATGGAAGACAGTATTGGAGGTTTCTCAAAACCTAAATAGTACAAGCATACGCTGTGACAATCACATCCACAGGAATGTGTTCACAAGAATTGGAAGCAGGGTCTTAAAGAGCTCTTTGCATGCCCTTAACCCAGAGTGGGAGCAACTGAAATGTCCACCAATAGCCAAATGCATACACAGAATGTAGCTCACACCTACAATGAAACATTATCAACTTAATAAAGAAGGAAATTCTGCACTTGCTCCAACATGAACACTGAAGACACTATACTAAGTGAAATAAGCCACTCTCAACAAGACAAAGGCTATGATTCCACTTCATAACGAACTCAGGGAGCTTAGTAGAAACAAAGTGGAGTGGTGGCTGCCAGGGCTCGGGGGCAGGGGAAATGGGACAATTCTTTATTGGGGGCGGAGGAGGGAGTATCAGTTTTGGAGAATGAAATACGCCTGGTGATCTGTCTAAGTATTACTGAACGGTACACTTGGAAACTGTTAACAAGGTCTTTTTAAAATACTTCATTTTTTCCATCTGCTTGAAAGATAAATTAACTGATTTCCTGCTGCCAGGAAAAAAGAAAGATCTTCATTCACTGGTTCACTCAAATACCTGCAACAGCCAGGGCTAAGCTAGGATGAAACCAGGAACCCACCACAGCTCCTCCCAGGTCTCCCACAGGAGTGGCAGAGGCCAAAGCACCCATGTCATCACCTGCCACTGCCCAAGGTGCACTGACAGGAAGCCAGATTACCAGCAGCAGCCAGCATTTGAACCTGCCCTTCAATATGGGATGCAGATATCCTCACTGTGCCACAGCACCTGCCCTTCTGGGTTACCTCTAAAATACTTATATATCTGGGGCCAGCACCATGGCACAGCAAGTTAAGCCTCTGTCTGTGATGCCAGTATCACATATGCCATGGGTTCAAGTCCTGGCTGCTCCACTTCCAAACCATATCCCTAATCATATGCCTGGGAAAGCAGCAGCAGATGGTCCCAGTGCTAGGGTCCCTGCACCTGCAATGGACATCTGGAAGAAGCTCCTGGGTCCTGGCCTTAGACTGGCATAGCATCAGTTCACTTATGGAGTGAACCAGCAAACAGATCTGTCTCATCTATTTCTCCTATCTATGTAATTCTGTCTTTCCAACAAAAACAAATAAATCTTTTAAAATATATGTATTTATCCAAAAAGAAGAGACAGAAATAGAGACCCATCTGCTGGGTTACCTCCTCCATTTCTGCAACAGCCAGAGCCACACCAGGGAGGAGCCACGCAGGCAGGCCTCCTACATGACTGGTGGGCATCACCTGTGGCCTAACAGGGTATGTATGCATCAGTAGGAACCTGGATGGGCCGTGGAGCTTAGACTCAAACCCAGGCACTCTAGTAACAGTGGGCCTCCCAAGCAGCAGCTTAACCACTGGGCCAAATGTGTTTTCATCTTCTAAGAATCCTTTTAACACAATTAAAATAAATAAAAGCGGTCTAAGTTTCAGAGGGAGGGAGGAAGTAGGAGACAGAGAATCCTGAAACAGAAGAAAGTTTTAGTATGAAAATAACAATTCATATTTCAACATTCCTAGGCACAGTGATTAATGAAAGAGCTCAGTTGCAGGGTTTGGCTGAGGAGTGGGAGTACAGGGTCCAGACCTGGGGGAATGGTGAGAGCTATGGGCCAGGCGAGACTGCCTCTGCATGAGGACACTGCTGAGACAGGGGCTGAATCCTGGCAAATGTTCAGAGACTGAACATAAAGGGATTCAGGAGAGAAGTCACAGGTATTGGAACATGTCAGAGGGGACACAGAAGGCTGACAGCAAGGCCAGTCCATCTGTGAGGTGACAACTGCAGCAACAGCAGAACAGTCAACACACACAGTTCCTCTGCAGGGCTGGGGAGGGAGCAGGAGAGGCAGGGGGAGAGCACCGCAGAGAAGACATGCGTGATGGCAGTGGGGGGAGGCTGCTGACCCCTCCCCTGCATGCTTTGCCCCTCTAGCACTGCCGGGGGCAGAACACAGCAGAGAAGGCAGGGGCAATCACACCACAGGTGGCACTGATACTCTTGGTCCTCCCACAGGGCAGCAGACCCAGGCCGAAACTCCAGCCAGGTGAGTGCTGGACCTCCTGGGATGGGCAGGGGGTCCTGGGATGGGAAAGGGCAGGGCTTTGGAAGGAGCCCTCCAGGCACTTCTCGGCCCTCCTGGAGGCCCACTCCACAGCTCTGTCCTCCTCCCTCGCTAGCACGCTGGACATCTGACCTCAGTCTCCATCCTGCCAGCTCCCTCTGCCTAGAACCTCTTCCCAGACACAGCCGCTCCTCCATCCTGCCTTCCTCTTTCCTGCTCTCCTCCCGTGACATCCTCTTCCCAAAGTAACTTCCCAGGGTCCCATGCATCCTCTGTCTGTGGCTCCCATGGGCCTGTCCTGCTCAGCAGCATGTGTGGTCTCTGCCTCCTGCCCACCCTCAGTGCTCCTCCTCCTCACCTCCTTCTCTCCTCCTTTTCCCACTCTCACTGCCATCACTGTGTTCTCACCAGAAGCCTCTCCCTGCTTTCCCAGCTCTCCTTCCTCCAGCCTTTTGCTACACAGGGATCAGCCTGAGCCCTGCTCAGTGCACCTGGCAGTCACAGACTTGCTTCTGTTCTCCCAGCCTAGCCAGGCACTACCCACAGACACAGAAGAGGGAGTGAGAGAGTGAGAACCACAAGGGGTTGGCCTCCCTGCCTCTTTCTCCTGACTCTCCCCAGTACAAGCAGCTTCTCCGGAATTATCCACCTCCAGTGAGCATGGGGGACCTCTGCTGGGCCACCCCACAGGTGGCCTCCTCCAGAGGACTTCAAACCACCACACTCACCCTGAAGAGGCCAGGGCAGGCTGCAGGACACCCTGCAAGGACAGCCAAGCTCTGTCCTCTAGTAGATTCCCCACTCTCTTAATGCCATGCAGGAAACCTCCACAGCACACAGAGGAGAAACATGAGAACACTGGGAATCAAGGTAAGGCCTGGCCCAGCCAGCCCAGTGTCTGTCCTCAGCCCTTCCCACTTCCCCAAACACCTCCTACCCTATCTGGGTCTCCCTCAACACTGGGCCTCACGCCAACCCTCCCATGTGACCCTCACCTAGCAGGGAGCCTCAGTGCTGGAGCCCCCTGCTCATCTCTCCCTCCTGGCTTTACACCAAGATGTGACCTCTGACTTTTTTTCCTAGGACAACATAAAGAACCTGGGCCCACCCTCAGGGTAAGCTGCTCAGAGCTGGAGCTGAAGTTTAAGCAAATCTTGGAGAAGGGAGGGAGTGGAGGGAATGGAAGGAGTGAGGCCTGGGATTTCCGCTGCTGGCGGGGAGGGGATGGCTCCACTTCCCTGACTAACCCCCTCTCTGTGTCCTCGCCCAGGATGACGGCATCGTCTACGCTTCCATTTCCCTCTCCAATCCATCCTCCACGAAGGCTCCTCTCTGCCACCCTTCCCCTAAGGCCCCTCAGGCGGAGACCGTGTACTCTGTATTAAAGTCCTAATGAGTGGGGCTGAAAAGATGACATCCTTAGAGGAAACCACCAATCTGAGAGGAAGGATCCTAACCACCACCAGTAACGGAGGCCACATGCAGATGACTCAGAAGTGAGCGGGTTTCAAAAGGCCACCAAAGAGCTGCGACAAACATCAGTAACCCCTTCTCTTAACCTTCTAGCCTTTGCTCAGAAAAATACAGAATTTATGCAAATACATGTAAACACAAAATGATGTCACCTTCACCTTCAGTCTCTCCCACCAAAAACAACTCCAGTACACAATCAGCACAACACACAAATCCCATCATACTGCCAGCCATCCCAGAACCCAAGGCCTGCCCCCACAGCTACCCTAATCCTCCCTCCCCACAGTAACTGTCATGTCTTGTGATGTGTGCTCCACGTGTGTCATCCTGGTGAGACACTGAAAAAGCCCAGATGGACACTGTTCATCGGAGGTGTGGGGAAAAAAAAAAAAAAGAGCCAGGTGGGTAAAGGCCTGGCTCAAGGAAGGAGCTGGGCCAGCGCCTGACCTTGGTCCTGCCCTTCACCAGACTCCTGTACTGTGTGAGTCCACACTAGAAGCAGGGGACAAAAGATCCAAAAGGTAGCCTGTGATTAGACACAAACCAAACCCACTGCGTCGGGAACCTGTTTTATTAACAAATGCACAGCCCTGACTTCAACTCGACAGTTGGTCAGTAGCTCAACATCTGTCCATGCTTCAGGTCACCCCCAAACAAGCCTTCCTCCTGCTCCGGGGTAGGGAGGCAGAAGGGAAGGCACACATGGCTACTCCTCAAAGAGGACCACGAACTCCTCTTCACTGTCTGTGTGCTGTGGTTCCTCTCTCTCCTCGGATTCTTTTCCAGTATCTTCCAGGAGCTGCTCCAGGTCCAAGTCACTGGAGACTTCATCTTCAGAAGGGAGAGTTTCAGTCTCCTGGGCTGCTGGTTCCTGGGGCCTGAGCCCTTCTGTTCCCGGGGAGGGACAGGTCCCCAGTGGCACCTGCTGGGCCAAGCTCTTTGGCACTGTGCTAACTTCTTCCTCAGACAGAGTGGCTCCTGAGGCCTTGCTCTGAGGAGTTTTAAATTTTTTCTTAGGGCCTAAATGAAAAGGTGAGAAAGTTGAGTGTCCTACTACAGTAGCCTATACCAATCTCTAATAAATTAAACTCTTAAATCCCTATTTCCAAGAAATCTGAGAAGATCGCCTTTCTCAGCTAAAATAAATAAATAAATAAGACAACAACATGGGTTTTGTGGTCAGAAAAACAAATTGCATCCAAACCAAGGACCACGTACTTGGACATGGCTCTTGAATGTTTGCCACTTTTGAAGTGGCAAACATAAGGTCACAGAACTACGGAACTAAATGGAACAGGCCCAGAAGTACCTATCTAGCCACCTCGACAGACACCAGCTCTCTAGCGGCAGGCACTGTGACAGAGCAAGCAGCCACTTAGGAGGCTGGCATCCCACACTGGCGTGCCAGTTCCAGCTGCTCCGCTCCTCCCCAGCTTCCTGTTAGTGTGTCCTGGAAAGCAGCGGATGATGGCTCAAGGCTCGGGTGCCCTCTACCCATGTGAGGGACCCAGGTGGAGTTCTGGGCTCTGGCTGCAACCTGGCTCACACCTAGCTATGCAGATATAGGGAAAGAGACAACAGCTAAGACCTCTCCTGATACTCCTCTCTTGCTTGGCATTTCAAGTAGATTAAAATTTTTTTTTTCTTTTCTTCCTCCTCCTTTTTAGTAAAAAGCAGAGAAAAGAACATTGGTTCTCTTGTCTCCCCATCCTCTGTCCTAAATCAGCCTGAATCAACAACCACTGGGTTTATGGAGTATGCTGGGTACAATCTAAGAACTGTTCTTTCATTCTAATTTCCACTGTTTCTTTAGAGGAATTAAAAGCTGTGTAACTATAAAGAAGTGATCAAGGGAGAGGTGGGTGTAGGCAAGGACTTCACTCCTACCTGGCTGGTCAAGATCTGAGTTCCATTGGTCTTCTCTTCCCACTGTGGGTGCACGAGCTGCAGATTCGCCGCTCAGAGACTTCTTCATCATCTTCTTTGGCAGGGTCTCGCCTTGTCCATTGGCCATTCCTGTGTCACATCCTGACCCAACAACCATGAAGGAAATTTACTTTTAAGTTCAGAGCAGATGGTCTCTCCACATTTCATCTTTGCTCCAAAAGTTTTCTCAGTCTCAGTCTAGGAAGTTCTCTGTGGCTTCCAGTTCCCCCTCCTCCCTGTCTTACCGTCTGGATCTCCTTTCTGTTCCCCACTCCCCACCCCTTCCCTGCCTTTTCCAGGAAGCCATCCTTCTGGGCTGAGAATCTTAAACCTGCCAGCGTTAATCTAAGGCTTTAGAACTCAGTACACAGAAGTGAGGGGGCTCTCATGCTAACACCATCACTGAGTCTGGCCTGTCTTCTCAGCTCTTGGAGCTGAGACTGTCAATAACGGCCAGCTTCCCATAGATCCTTTATGCTGTCTACCTTGGCCTTGTGTTAATTGTAGGATCTGTCCCATTTTCATCTTGGCTTTCTTACCCTTTCGTTTGGGATTTTTTGTTCGTATTTTGGCTTGCTTGGGACTGGGCAAAGTTGGGTCCTGAGGATGGGGGGAAAATTAAAAATGAAGTCAGTCACATAACTCCTTATAAAGAAAGGGATGCTACAGAATCCTAAGTGGCCTTTGAGGAATCGCATCAGGTTCTTTGAGACTGATACAGCCTCAACCTATGGCAACACAGAGAAAGTGTACAGTCACCTCACCATCGGTCCTAGTCACCGTATAAGCAGACAAAAAGAAAGAAAAAGAACATAAGCAATACAAAACTTAGTAAACTTTAAATTATATATATATATACACACACACACATACACACACACTTGTGCGTCAGTTAGGGCCTGCCAGGGTGAAGCCAGGAGACAAGGGTCTCCCCAGACTTCCCAACTGGGTAGTAGGGGCTCATGTAAGAACCATCCCCACCCCCTCACCCAGGCCACCAGCAGGGAGTAGGTCAGAAATGGAGCAGTGGGAACCTGAAGCAGTGCCAATATGGGAAGCTGGTGCTGCAGACGGCAGATAATCTTGCTGTGTCACAGCACCAGCCCCCATATGTTTTACATACCTGGAAAGAGACATTAAGAAAACAAGTGAATAAATATCCTCACACAAGGCAAAAGGAGTAGAAACACAACTGACTGTTTTCTGAAATTGTTATAGAAAGAACCAAATTTGAAACATCACAGACATTGAGATAATTGTTATCAAGAAGTTTCCACAGAGGTAAGAAACAAGAATATCAAGGAGTGAAAGAACCTCCCCTGGTGAATCCCAGGAGGTGAGACTCCTAGAAGCCGGGGCTATCCCAAAGCAGGGACCAGACGCTTTCTTAGCAAATTTAAGTGCATGTTAACCAGATCTTCACAGGAATTTGCCAGTAGGAAACTCCAAAATCCTATGTAAATCACAATTGTGGCTAATCGTGGCTAATCTCACCTTCTGTGACTCCTTGTCTTCTATCTGTGGCTCCTTCTCCAAGCAAGACTCTGGGCTGTTAGCCTCAAAGGACTTTAAGTCTACAGCAGGAAAAAGAGAAAAGACTAAATAATTTACCCAATAAAATAGCTGATAAGGTAATGGAACTGAACCTAGAGAGTGTAACTTCTAGCTCTGCCTTCTGTGTCAAGGGGATGTCTCGACATAGTCGACTCCAGATTCTCATGTTTCCTTTCAAAGTCCATCACTGCTCACACACACCCTCCCCTCCCCCACCCTCTTCCTTGCTCCATGATTCCCTCTAACCATCTGCTCATTCACTTGGGAACCTGGCTGAATGACACAAGAGCCTGCCAGAACCAGACTGGCAACACTGAACATAAAACCCAAGAGCAGGTGCTGCTCCCCTCATCACTCTGGTCCCACCGAGAGCAGGTGCTGCCCCCTCATCACTCTGGTCCCCTCTGGGGCAGGTGCTGCCCTCCTCATTGCTCTGGTCCCCCAAGAGCAGGTGCTGGTCCCCCAAGAGCAGGTGCTGGTCCCCCGAGAGCAGGTGCTGCCCCCTCATCACCCTGATCCCCTCTGAGAGCAGGTGCTGCCCCCCTCATCACGCTGGTCCTCATCGCCCACAATTCCTACCTTTTCCTTCCCCATTGCTGTCAGACCTGGCGTATCGACTCTGGAAACCAAACAAGGCAACCCGCTCCTGCGGGAAACAAGAAGTAAAAGAATCATTTACTACTCAAAGGGATCGATTTTCTTCTAAATTTTAGTAATAAATATATTTGCATTCATTTTCCACAATTTTCAATTGAAATATCGCATTAGGCTTATATGAAATTTTCTAGAGATATACTAATTACGCTGTTTTTTCCAGTTAATTTGTAATTCAGCAAATAATTATGAAGAGGAAATTCACTGCTTGTTCTCCCCCTAACCCCTACACATACCAGTAGAATGTGAAAGTAAAAATTCACTCTGCATGAAATAGAGGGTAAGGCACCTGTACCTGACACTTGAGGTTAAGCAGGGAGGTGGGACGCACCCTATCACAGACTGTCTGTCTGTCTAGTCCAGACAGGATCCTACTAGCTGCAGACAGGGAAAGGAAAGGAAGACTTAATGAATCAAGGAACTCCAGCCTGAGCAGAGGAGTTCTAAGATGATGACCACTTAGCTGGGAAGGACACTAGTTCCCTGCAGTGTGGAGAGGATGGCCTGTTTTGTGCCCAAGGCCTAAAGAGGAGCCAGGAGCCCGGCACCACGGCCTAGCAGCTAAAGTCCTCGCCTTGAATGCACTGGGATCCCATATGGGTGCTGGTTCTAATCCCAGCAGCTACACTTCCCATCCAACTCCCTGCTTGTGGCCTGGGAAGGCAGTCGAGGACGGCCCAGGGCCTTGGGACCCTGCACCCGCGTGGGAGACCCAGAAAGAAGTTCCTGGATCCTGGCTTCAGATCGGCATAGCACTGGCCATTGCAACCACTTGGGGAGTGAATCACTGCATGGAAGATCTTTCTGTCTCTCCTCCTCTTTGTATATCTGACTTTGTAATGAAAATAAAATAAATCTTAAAAAAAAAGGGGAGCCAGAACATATCTCAACACTTTCCCACCTGAATGCTGATCTGTTCTGCCTGTTGAGCCATTATTAGTGCTGCCCCTAGCTTTTGGCTGAAGTCCTTGTTTCGGTACTTTTTCTGAAACAGAGGAAGGTTAGAGTCAATAATCAATACTGACTTTAAGCTTCAGAATTAGTAAGCAGAGGCACAGAGGGTAAAACTGATGCTTGTGACAGTGAGAACCATACCACAGTGCCAGATCATGTGTCAGCTACTCCACTTTCAGTCCAGTTTCCTACTGACACAGCTGGGAATGGTAACAGAAGATGGCCCAAATACTTGGGCCCCTGCCACCCAAGTCGAGGCCAGAATGGAGTTCCTGGCTCCTGGCCTCAGCCTGGGTCAGATCTGGACATTGCTGCCATTTGGAAAGTGAACCAGTGGATGGGAAAATCTCTCTCTGGGCCTCTCCTCCCTTGCTATGCCCTGTCTTTTAAATAAATAAATCTCGGGGCCGGCACCCCAGCATAGTAGGAACTGGTTCATGTCCTGGATGCTCTACTTCTAATCCATATCCCTGCTTACAGTCTGGGAAAACAGCAGAGGATGGTTCAAGTCTTAGGGACCCTGCACCCACGTGGGAGACCTAAAAAAAGCTTCTGGCTTCAGATCAGCTCTGGCAATTGTGGCCATTTTCAGAGTGAACCAGCAAATCAAAGATCTGTCTCTCCTCTAACTCTACCTCTCAAATAAAAAGAAATAAATCTTTTAAATAAACAGATACATACATCTCTGAGGCCAATATTGTGGTGTTAAGCCACCACCTGCAATGCCAGCATCCCATATGGGAGCTGGTTAAGTCCCAGCTGCTCCACTTCCAATTCAGTTCCCTGCTAATGATCTGAGAAAGCATCAAAGGATGGCCCAAGCGTTTGGGCTCCTGTACCCACATGGGAAACATGGTAGAAGTTCCTGGTTCCTGGTTTCAGCCTGGTCAGCCTTGGCTGTTGTGGCCATTTGGGGAGTGAATCCATGGATGAAAGATCTATCTCTCCCTCTCTACCTTTCAAATAATAAACAAATCTTTAATGAACAAACAAAATTTTTATGAGTCAGAAAGATCCGTGTTGAGGTGCAGTGAGCCAAGTTGCCTCCTGCAATACCAGCATCTGCATTGCAGCACTAAGTCCTTGCTGCTTCCTGCCCCCCAGGGAGGCCTCCTGGGAACTCCCATCTCCTAATTTCACCCTTCATCAGCCCCAGTGTTCTGGCCATTTGGGGAGTGAGCCAGCAAATGGGAGATACTACTTTCTGCCTCCTCCCCTTCCTATCACTCTGCCTTTCAATTAAGAAAAAAAAAAAAGGTAGCAAATATAAAAGAAGTGACTCCAACACAATGCTACCCAGACATTATCTTTAACTACATCTAGTTTCAGTTCCTACATTGACATTTACTGCTTTTCTTATCCCTTTGGTACATTCCTTGTACAGATTCCTAGAAATATTTTCAACCAACCTTCTGTTATCTCTAAAGTGAGTCCCACATCCCATGGAAATACAAAAAGACGAAAATTCAGGTTACTCTATTCCTAAGCTTCTTAAAAGTTTTTGTTTTGAGACAGCACCAGATAGAACTCCCATTTCTGAGTTCACTAAACAAATGCCCACTGAGGCCTCTGCACTGGGCTGAAGGCAGAAGCTCAATCCAGGTCTCTGAATGGGTGATAGAAACCCCCAAATGAGCCATCACCACTGCTTCCCAGTCTGCGTTGGCAGGAAGCTGGAATTGGGAGCCACCAGGTACTCCAGCGTGGGACATAGGCACCCTAACTGCTGGACCAAACATCCCTCTCATTACTTTGACCCAGATTCTTGACTTTGTACTCATGACTTAATTTTCTAAGGCCTCTGAGCTGTTGGGACTCTGCTCATTTTAAAGTCCCAAAGTGAATACAGAGAAGAAATACAAGTTAGCCAATCTAGTGATTCTCACCTAGGGGAGAGTCTGCGTCCCCCAATCAGTACCTGGAACTTTTTTGTTGTCATAAGCAGGAGCAGGACAGGGGTGCAGGGCATTGTTGACTAAACCCCAGCAGAGCTCAGGGAAGCTGCCAACAATCCTGTGGAAAGACTCCCACAACGAAATGCCACCCGGCCCAGGGGATCCACAGCACTGAGATGGAGAAATCTGGGGTTAACCTGGCACTCACATCTGCCACTGTTACTCTGGCTTAACTATAAAAACCTCAACCATCAGAAAGGCCCTCTGTTTGCAGACACAGAACACTGAAAGCAATCCTTACACCACCATAAGCCTATACAAAGATCCTCATGAACAACCACGCCTCAGCACGCCCGCTTACAACCAGCACTTTCTCTTGCACCCAACTGGATTCCCTCTTAGATAAAAGCAGGTGAAATAAAGTGTGGGTTTCGCTTCCCAGTTCTTGGAGTCACAACAGAACCTCCAGATTTGCTCACCATTCCTGTCAGCTCCAGGGACAGCTCCTGGAAGTTCTTCAGCATGTTGACAGGGATCCAGGCTCGAGAAACAGTTTCTCCAAAAAACGTCACATGATATTTAGACTAGAATAAAAGATGGTCCCGTCAGGGCTCCTGTCCTTCTTGCTTTTCTCCTCTCACCAGAAAAGGCTGGGGGAGAGCAGGAGACTCACAAAGCACCGGACCTCTTCTGCCCCCGAAGCCTGACTTACCTACCCCACCTCGTGCCACTTTTTTTCCATTCTGACCTCAGGGATTCTAGCAGAAGTGTTATTTATCAAAAGTATATCGAACTGGCACTGTGACATAGTAAGTTAAGCTGCTCCCTGCAACACTAGTGTTCCATGTGAACAGTGGTTCTAGTCCTGGATGTCCCACTTCTGACCCAGCTTGCTGCTAATGCACTTAGGGAAGCAGAAGAAGATGGCCCAAGTACTTAGGCCCCTGCTTCCCTGCGGGAGATCTGCATGGAGTTCCAGGCTCATGGCTTCAGCCTGGTCCAGCCACAGGCATTGCAATCGTCAGGGAATAAACCAGCTGACAGAAGACTATCTCTCTCTCTCTGGAGTTCTGCATATATGTATATATAAAACCTTACAAACATTCTCACAAGGGTATTTAATGAAAAACAGGTTTCTTTCTATAAGCGCTTGTCTCTGTTCATTCTCCTGTGTGTCACTGGGTGTGCCTGCTTCTGTTAGGATGCACCTGTTCATTACTTTGGTCTACATTAGAAAACTCACCGGCAATAAATCAAGGTGAGAGGCAAAAAGAAAATATTCCCCCAGGTCAGGATCAGATTCCACCATGCCGGGCCACCTGGAAGACAGATAGGTACAGTAAGTGGAAGAAAAGGGGTCGGATGGACAGAGCACAAGCTCCTCATGGAGGAAAAAGTACAACATGTTTGGCAAGCAAAGGACCCAAAAGACAGATCTCATTCCCTGCCTGTCAGCCCCCTCCAGTGGTCACCAAAGGAGAAACTCAAAACCAGTTTAGTAAAGTTATCTTACCCTCTAGGTAGGCCCTTCCACAACTCTAAGAACAAAATCATCTAAGGAGAATATCTACAAAGAAACTACCCACCAGCCTCATCCTCCTTAATTCTGTGTCTGTCACTCACCTTAACTGTAAAAAACACCTTAGGGGTGGGCATTTGGCATGGTTAAGACACCCCTGGGATACCCACACCCCACAAGTGTCTGATTTGAGTCCTGGACATACGTCAAATCCCAGCTTTCTGCTACGTGTGTCCTGGAAGGCAGCAAACGATAGCTCAAGCAGTCAGGGACCTACTACCCACATGAGAAAGCTGAACTGAGGGCTGGGTTTCTGATGTCAGCCTAGTCCAGACTTGAACATTAAAGAAACTTGCTGCCTGGGAAAGTAGCAGACAATGGCTCCAGTACTTGGGCTCCTGCAACCATGTGGGAGATCAGATGGAGTTCTGGGCTCCTAGCTTCAGCTTGGTCCATCCATCACTGCTGCACTGAGGTATGAACTAGCAAGTGGGTGGGTGGGTGGGTGTGTGTGTACACACGCATGGTGGGTCCCTTGCTGCTATTCTGCCTTGCAAATAAACACATAAATCCTTCTTGGACCTGGCGCCGTGGCCTAGCAGCCAAAGTCCTCGCCTTGAATGCACCGGGATCCCATATGGGCGCCAGTTCTGGTCCTGGCAGCTCCACTTCCCATCCAGCTCCCTGCTTGTGGCCTGGGAAGGCAGTCAAGGACGGCCCAGGGCCTTGGGACCCTGCACCAATGGGGAGACCTGGAAGAAGTTCCTGGATCCTGGCTTCGGATCGGCATAGCATCGGCCGTTGCACTCACTTGGGGAGTGAATCATCGGACGGAAGTTCTTTCTCACTGTCTCTCCTCCTCTATGTATATCTGACTTTCCAATAAATAAATAAATCTTTAAAAAAATCCTTCTTAACACTCCTTGGATCTACCATACCTTTCCTACTCACTCAGGGTAGTATAATCAAATCTGTTTTTTTCCAGGGAGACACCATTTTCACCTCCAAGCTTGACATTTAATCTCCCTCCACCCCAACCCTCCACTCCTAGCAACCCCATGCTATTTGTAAGGCAAGTATTGTTTTATATCACAAGCACTTTCCACGGTCTTCCCTCCCTCCATCTACTACGGATGCCAAGGATGCTCTATGTCCTCCTGCCGCCTTACCAGGGATAACCATACTGCTTGGCCCAGATGATGGATCCTGGGATGTAGGTAGCATAGGCCACCTCACTGTCACGTCCTGTCCAGCTCTCTTCAGGAATATCACAGCTATTATACTTCAAGTCTGCCAAAGAGAGAAGGAATACAGATGTGTGAAGAGACTCATTAGGCGAAAATCTGGATAAGGCTATGGGGAAGAAGGATCCAGCATGGGGCCCAAGGGATGCATGGGGAAGGTATAGAAGAATAAAGGCCTATGAGGGAATGCAACTGCAGCCAGAATGGGAAGGAGTGCAACCTGCAAGCCTCCAGAGAAAGAAATTCCAACTCCTGCCCACAGCATCTGATTCTACTCCCATCCACGGAATAAGAGGGGAGTAGTTTCTCTGGAACTGTTCTCTCATCTGATAAGGAATCTGGCTGGACTAGATGAAAATTATCTCTTAGAGACAGATCCAAACATACTGAATTATAGGCTCACTGTAGCTCCTGTACCTGTGTTACCCCACACAGCCCTATATTCCTCCCTATCCATCAGCCCAACTCCAATATTCTAATCGGGATTGACTGGATTAGTAATGCTGAAGAAAACGGACTTCCTCCACACAGCCCTTTGGATACAAGGCCCCTCCTCAGAGAAAACACTTCAGCCCTCTCTGCCCTGGAGTCATTCCCACATGGCTGTCGCAAGATCCCTCCTCTCCTCCAACAGTTACAACAACCCTTAGAGTGCTGACTGTACTTACGTCGTGGTTAATCTGAAGGGTATGTTCAGGGAAAGAACAGAGGAGGAACCAGAAAACCGGACAAAAACATTTCCACGCTTTTCTACCTGGATTCTGAGCACAAGACCAATTGTCTGGAAGAACCGAGGGGTCAATATTCCCATGCAGCCGCCTCCATTTCTCACAGTTCGAGGAAGAACACTGGACCCAAACTAGATATTGACCTATGACAGGAAAAAAAAAGGAAATTCAACTTAGTGGCTCAGATGCAGTTAAGATGCCCGTTCTCTAGTTAGAATGCCTGGGTTCAATCCCTGGCTCCGGACTCGAGCTTCCTGTTAACCAACTGCAGGGGACAGCAGCAAGGACTCAAATGGGTTCCCACCACCACATGGAAGACCTCGACTGAGTTCTCAGGTCTTGGTTTTGACCCAGTCCCAGCCATTTGCCACCACTGCAGATGGGCTTGCTTACCCTTGGCTCATTCATGCTCCAATGTGCTTCCCTACTTTCTCTTTCTCTCTCTTCCCCCCTCCCTCGCGTGCACGCACGTTTACTCTCCTTCCTCCTTTTCTCCCTTTCCCCCTCTCAAATAAATTAAGACTGAAATAAGAGACTCAAAAATATTCTTTCTTCTTTGATCCCACCATAGTCAATAGAACCTTCCAAAAACCCAGAACCACATTTTCATTGACTTGCAAGAAGGAAAAAAATCAAGCCTCAGAGAAATTAACTGACTTGTTGAAAATCAGCCTACCTTGGTGACACAGCTGAGCTTAGAATACAAGTTTCACATCTCCTTTATCCCACACTGAGCAGAAACGAGTGTTTCTGCTACTGACAATCCTCAAACAGAAAGGATGCCTGGCAGTTTTCCAGATGGGATCTCATCCTCTGCTGGCACACACTACTAGTTCTTCAGAGGTAACCAGTGTCTCTTTTCTGTATCCAGAGTTCTCAACCAAACCTTGATGAACAAGTCACCAAGTTGCAACCAGTGGGACCATCCTCCTCCAAAAGACACAAATCACAGTCCACTGTTTATCAATACTTACTTTGGACCCTGCTTGAAAGCCAAGCTTTTCTTCTTTCACTGCCTTCCAAACTCCCACCCCCGCCATTCTATATCCTCACATCTCTTAAGCTGACCCACGTCCCATGCAGCCTCCCAAATGCTTCCACCGTGCTCTCTAAAATTCCAGACTTGAACAAATGTCCACACACCAGCTTCTTGCTGAACCTCTCCCTCCACTTTGAAGCCTAGAGACCCACCACAGACACTGCCCCACCTGATTCCACAAACCCACATATACAACAGATCTCTGAGCTCCTTCCTTACGCCTTCCTCTGTGTTTGTCAGGATAGCAAATGGGCTAGCACCATCTCATCCTTACTTCCTGTTTTACTATTTCCCCTCCTCCAATAAAAACCCTTCCTTCCTTAAGCCATTCACCATGTCATGCTTCCCACTCAGCTTCTCACCTTCCCTGCAAAGATGCTCGCACCTGGTTCAGCCTTCTTTCCACACTGCCTTCATTCCACATGCCCAATGCCTCCACAGGAATACCTCACAAAGCACCCCATTCTCACAGTTTCTTGACTCTTTCTTCACACTCCCTGGTGACCCTGATCCATACCCACTTGTGTATGCCCCAAAAAGTCACCTGCAGGAAATGTGCACACCCTGAGCCTCTTACCACTCTGATTAAAGAGTGTGTTCCACTGGCTTGCTGGCAATGTCTACTTTATCTGGTCCTCCAGTCTACACCCTGCCTTTTCCATTCCTTAACCACACACTATACAGGTTCGATTCCATCCCATTTCCTTAGGCACGTCCGCAGACACCTCCAACTCCTTTTCCCTCTGTCCTTCCCCCTCATCCAGATGGAAAACAGCACCTGGAATGAATTCACCCTCTATCTTTCCTGTGCTAACACTCATGCAGTTCAAACTTGCTGGAGAAAAATCACTTAAGTTAGTTCCACATCGGCAGCCACTGGAAAGCTGCAGCCACGGTCCTGTGTTACACCATGGCTGTGGGCCTCACAAGGGCCGCAAGGTGACCAAGAATGTGATCAAGTCAAGCACAGCCACTGCCACGGGCGCCTCACCAAGCACATCAAGTTTACATGGCACATGACCCACGAGGTGGGTGACTTTGCCTGTTTGAGTGCCATGCCAGGGAGCTGCTCAAGGTTTCCAAGGACAAATTGGCCCACAAGTTCATCAAGAAAACAGTGGACATGCACATTCAGAGGAGCTAAACAGCGTCCTGGCTGTCATGAAGAAGGTGGCCACCAAGAAGGACTTTTCAGGGTCTGGCATGATAACCTAGTGTCTAAAGTCTTCTCCTTGCATGTGCCAGGGATCCCATATGGGTGCTGGTTCATTTCCCAGCTATTCCACTTTCCATCCAACTCCTTGCTTATGGTCTGGGAAAGTAGAAAAGGATGGCCCAAAGCCTTGGGACTCTGCACCAGCATAAGAGACCCAGAAGAAGCTCCTGGTCCCTAGCTTCAGACAGTCTCAGCTCTGGCCATTGCAGCTACTTGGGGAGTCAACTAGCAGATTGTTGAATATCTTCTCTGTCTCTCCTCCTCTATAAATCTGCCTTTCCAAAAAAAAATAGATAAGTCTTTAAAAATAAATAAATAGATCTCTTAAAAAGAAGGACCTTTCATATTAAACCTCTAGTCCCCCAGCACCCCTCCACACACACACACAGTCCTTAATCCACTGAACTCTTCCCTCAGAAAATGTGACTTTTATTCAGGTCCTTTCAAAACATCACATATGATGGGCCACTTTCTCAATGACTTTATCTTAAAGAACAAACTATTGGTTGACAACTTTCTTTCAAACAAAGCATTGTCAATAACAGTGCTGACTATATAGAGGTGAGCTAGTAAGACTTTTAGGGGGAAAAAGAGTGGGAGAAGAGCTGGAGGCCATAAAAGTTCATACAGATGAATAAGTAAATAACTCTTAAGGACCAGCGTTGTGGGCACATCAGGTTAAGCTGCTGCTTCAGATACCAGCATTCCATATGGGAGTGTTGGTTTGAGTCCCAGCTACTCCACTTCTGATCCAGCTCCCTGGTAATGTATCTGGGAAAATACCAGATCATGGCCCAAATACCTGGACACTTGCCATCCCATGGCAGACCAGAATGGAGTTCAAGGTTCCTGTCTTTGGCTTGGTCAAGCCTCGGCTGTTTGGGCCATTTGGAGAATAGCAAACCAGCAGATAGAAGAGATTGCCTTTCAAATAAGTAAATAAATCTTGACGGGAGCAGAGTTCATCAAGATCAGCAAAATAAATGGCTGATTGTGAAATTAACAAGTATTCATAAGAAAATGAATAGCAAAAATCATCCTAATGATATGAAATAAAATATCTGTGGTTCAGGATAAAATTTCCAATGTCAGAATTACGCAGATTTTTGTTTCTATTCAAGTAACTCACAAGAGAAGAAACTATACTAGACATTTATACATATGGCCAATGAAAATGAAGACAGCATCACAACTGATTAGAATGAACTGCTTAATCTGGAAATACCAGTTTCCTGGGTTGTGTGACAACTCATTCTCCATCTCCCACACCCCTTTCTGGCAGCACCAGCCTCACTTCTTGGCTGGGTACGCCACCCTATCTCTAAGTAAGTGACGTGCCAAAGCCCCATGCTACACTTTTCTCCTGAGGCAAGCTCAGCCATTCTCACAGCTCTGCAATCCATGTTCAGCATGTGGCTGTACACATCAACCCTGTCCTGAGCCTCAGATTCCTATAGCCACCTTGCTCTTGGACATCACTGCTTGGATGTCACCCAAGGGTCTCAAACCTGATGCTTAGTTTCATGACACAGAGTAGTTCTTCTTCTCTCCTTTGCTTCCTTTCATGTAACTGCTCAAACCAAAACCACTCTTGACATTCTCTCCTTCCTGTACCTGTCCTCCAATATCCAATTCATTACCAAATCCTGACAATTTTATCTCCAAATCATCTGAAAACCTTAAACCTTCTACTTGTCACTCTCTCCTTTCATCACCCATTTGGAGAGTGAACCAGCAGAGGGAAGATGTCTGTGTCTCTCTTTCTCTCTCCAAACCTGCCTTTTAAATAGTAAATAAACCCTTTTTTAAAAAGTATTGCTGCTTCCACTTATCCTGAACCACTTTCCAATCTTGTCTCCCCTTAGTTCCTGAATTTCAATCAGGTTGGTTTTCTTTTTCATACTGGGGATATGCTGAACTTTATCCAACCTGAGCTTCTTTCTCCTACTACTCACATGGATAGTATTTCCTTAGGGAGCATTTCTTGTATGGTCCAAGCTTACTTAGGTCACTACTACTTCTCTATTGGGGACTCCTCTTTCTACTTCCTGCTCCAGGACTCATCTACTCTTGGTAACTGAGAAACAGGAAGAATAATTCACTTGGAGCAAGAAACTGAGATTCACTATAATCACAATTCAACTCACAAGCACCTCTCTGCCGACCTAGAATCCAGTGTCTGCAGGGCTAATGAGAGACACGAGATACAGCAACACCAACTTACTTGGACAAACAGGAAATTGGGTCAATGGAATCTATAGTACCCCAAAAGTTTTCAACAGGCACATCTGAGATCATATAATCACACAAAACTGAAAGAAAAAAAAAACACCTAGTGTTTTTTTTTAAAATTCTACCCAGAACATTCCTTGGAAGGGTCTGAGCATGTATCAGGCTAATCCTGCACCTGCAGAACCATCATCTTATATGGATGACTTTCCCATCCAGCTCCCTGCTCACACCTGAGAATGCAGTAGAGGATGGCCCAAAGCCTTGGGTCCCTGCACCCCTTTGGGAGACCCAGAAAAATCTCTCAGCTCCTGGCTTTGGACTGGTTCAGCTCCAGCCATTGTAGTCAGTTGGGAAGTGAATTAGAAGATGGAAGATTTATCTCTCTCCATATAGAACTTTCAAAGTAAAATAAATAAATTTTAAAAAATAAAAACCACAGAAAGAATGATTCAATGACCTGGATTACCTTACTTGCAGTCTTTCTAGAATTTTCTTCCAAGTATGTGCAAATCATACTATTCATTCTACAACTGAAATGATTTCAGGGCAGGTGTTCGATGCAGCAGTTAAGACATCACCTAGAATGCTGTATCTCATATCAGAATGCCTTGAGAGATAGCAGGTGGAACTCAAGTAGGTAGGTCCCCGGGACCCAAGTGGAAGATGTGGATTGAGTTCCTGGTTTCTGGATATTTGGAAAACAATCTAGTAGATGGAAGGTCTCTCTGTCTCTCCCTGCTTAACTACACACACCTACACACACACACCTACACACAAACTAAACTTTAGCCATTTTTTTCATTATACCTTATACTTTCTGTTCTGATTTTTGTGTGTGTGTTCAATCCTATTTTCTCCAAGATTATCTTCTATTTCTATTGATATGGGACACACTAATAGACTAAATAATCAAATTTATTTCACATCATAAAATTTCCAAATGTCTGAAGCCAGCAGTGGTATAATCAGTTAAGTTGCTAACTACAACACCAGCACCCCATATGCACACAAGTTCAAGTCCCGGATGTTCCACTTCCAATCCAGCTCCCTGCTAATATGCCTAGGAATGCAGCAGCAGAAGGCCCAAGTCCTTGGGCCCATACACACATATGGGAGACCCAGACAGGCTCCTGGCATTTGGCCTAGCCTAGCCCTGGTCGTTGCGGCCATTCAGAGAGTGAAACTTCAGATGAAAGATCTATCTTTCCCTCTCTATATATGCCTTTCAAAAAACTAAAATAAATCTTTTTTTTTTAAAGATTCATTTTTTTATTATTTTTTCATTGGAAAGGCAGATATACAGAGAGGAGAGACAGAGAGGAAGATCTTCCATCCGATGATTCACTCCCCAAGTGAGCGCAACGGCCGATACTCTGCCGATCCGAAGCCAGGAGCCTCTTCCGGGTCTCCCACACGGGTGCAGGGTCCCAAAGCCTTGGGCCGTCCTGACTGCTTTCCCGGGCCACAGGCAGGGAGCTGGAAGGGAAGCGAGCTGGAAGGGAAGTGGGGCTGCCGGGATTAGAACCGGCGCCCATATGGGATCCCGGGCGTGCAAGGCGAGGACCTTTAACCACTTGCGCCACCGCGCCGGGCCCAAAACTAAAATAAATCTTTAAAAAAAAACTCCAATGTCTTTTGGAAATTCCATTTGTTTGCTACCTAACACAAAAATTAGGCTCTATGCAGACAAGATTACCTTATTTTTTTCTTTTTTTTTTTTTTTAACATTTATTTATCAGAAAGGCAGATCTGTGGGCTGGTGCAATTGCTCAACTAGCTAACCCCTCACCTCCAAGTGTAGGTATCCCATACGCGTGCCAATTCATGTCCTTGCTGTTCCACTTCCCATCCAGCTTCCTGCTTGTGGCCTGGGAAAGCAGTGGAGAATGACCCAAAGCCTGAACCCACACAGAAAACCTGGAAGAAGCTCCTGGGGTCAGATCAGCTCAAATCTGGCCATTGCAGCCAGTGGGGGAGTAAATTAGTGGATGGAAAATAATTCTGTCTCTCTTTCCCTCTATAAATTTGCCTTTATTATGGGAATAAGTATTTTCAAAAACACATAAGCAGCTATCACCAAGACCCTAAGAGCTTCCTAACTGTGATATTCTTGAGAATTTTCAAGTGTTAAACCCCCATGGTAGGGCCCGGCGCGGTGGCGCAAGTGGTTAAAGGTCCTCGCCTTGCACGCCCGGGATCCCATATGGGCGCCGGTTCTAATCCCGGCAGCCCCGTTTCCCTTCCAGCTCCCTGCCTGTGGCCTGGGAAAGCAGTCGAGGACCTCCTGGCTTCGGATCGGCATAGTATCGGCCCGTTGCGCTCACTTGGGGAGTGAATCATCGGACGGAAGACCTTCCTCTCTGTCTCTCCTCTCTGTATATCCGCCTTTCCAATGAAAAAATAATAAAAATAAATCTTTAAAAAAAAAATACTTCCCTTTGCTGACATTAGATGTTTTCTAAAACAGCTTGATTATTAAAAAAAAAAAAAAAAAAAAAAAAAACCCATGGTAGCCTCTGACATGGCCAAGCACTCCTCTTATTCCCTCTTCTCCTGGCACCTGCAATAATACATGTCCCTAAATTTCTGTTCTTTATGATCATGTCCTAGTTTTTTTCCCTGGGTACCATCTAAAATGCCCAGTACACAGTACTCACAACTAGGGATTATATGAATAAACAACTGAATGAACAAAATATTTCTTTCTTCCTCAAATCACAGCATACCTTCTAACAAGCAGTTATAACAGTCATCAGTCTTCCCGGAGTTTTCTGAGATGTTAACCCTTGCCGCTCTAATCCATCACAATGCTTAGCTCAAGTGGGTGTTTCAAACTACAGCTGAACTCACCCAAACCATTTTAATCTCCTGTATGCTCACCACTGATCTGAGACAGATCTTGAATCATTTTCTTTGGTTCATTTTTCTGTCTGTGCTCATCTCCACCTTGGTCACTCTCCATCTTCTCATCCTCTGTGAATATAAAACAAAACACTGTGGGATGCAGTGATAAAAAAAGAAAATCTTTGCAAACAGTAAAGACCAGAGAAGAGTCATAGCTGAGTAGTGTGTCAAACCATGGAGCAAAAATTCTCAGTGTGCACACTCTCCCAAGACCCTTAAGCCAGGCATCCAAGTGTACCTAACTATACTTACGGACTTCCTTCTTTCTTTTGCTTAACCGAGGTCTGTTTGATTTCTTTTCAGAAGGTGCAGGATCTGGGCGGCCTTGCTTAGACGCTCTGAACGCAGGGACAGCTTTGTCTTCCTGAGGAGCTGAAGTCTTTGCAGTGTGAGTTACTATCATCTTCTCTCTGAAAGCAGCATGTTTTTCAAATGAAAAACCTGGCAAATGTTCAACACCACTCTTGTGAAACAACCCAACAAAGGAACACAATTTGGCTTAGATGCCCTCGTCGCAGGAACGACTTCACTTTCTCCACAGATGAAAATTTCTAGAGTACGATTTACTATAACTCTACCTCAGAAAATGAAGTTTTTTTTTTTTTTTAATAAAAAGGTTTTTTAAAAAGAGTAATTCCCAGGTCCAGCACAGTAGCCTAGTGGCTACTTTGCACAGGATTTCATATGGGCACCGGTTCTAACCCCTGTGGTCCCATTTCCCATCCAGCTCCCTGCTTGTGGCATGGGAAAGCAGTCAAGGACAGCCCAAGGCCTCGGCACCCTGTACCCATTTGGGAGACCCAGAAGAAGCTCCTGGCTCCTGGCTTTGTAGCGGCTCAGCTTTGGTCACTGCAGCCTCTTGGGGAATGAATCAATCCTCCTCTCTTATATCTGACTTTCCAATAAAAATAAAAATAAGTAAATAAATAAAAGAGTAATTCCCAGGAGTCTTCATCTGAAAGAACCCAAGGCTCTCTACGGCTTTCTGAGATTACTCTGTCCATCTCCTTGACTATTCTTCCCAACTCAAATCAGTATTTTTCCTGAGCTAAGAGAAATGTATAGAAACAGGATACAGGGCCCAGCGCCGTGGCCTAGCAGCTAAAGTCCTGTCCTTGAATGCGCCGGGATCCCACATGGGCACCACTTCTAATCCCACAGCTCTACTTCCCATCCAGCTCCCTGCTCGTGGCCTGGGAAAGCAGTCGAGGACGGCCCAAAGCCTTGGGACCCTGCACCCATATGGGAGACCATGAAGAGGCTCCTGGTTCCCGGCTTCGGATTGGCGCAGCACCGACCATTGCGGTCACTTGGGGACTAAATCATCAAACGGAAGATATTCCTCTCTGTCTCTCCTCCTCTCTCTATATCTGACTTTGTAATGAAAATAAATAAATCTTTAAAAAAAAAAAAAACAAAAGAAAAGAAACACGATACAAACTTAACCACTGCTCAGCCCAACCTGTGTTCCGCCTGCCACACTGGGATAAACTTACCCATCAACAGCATCATTACCAGTAGCAGCAGCAGTATTTCCTGGCACTTTGTCTGATCCAGTATATACCATGGACTGGGCACAGGAAGTGTCTGAAAAATCAAAGTCAGATCCCATCCCTCCTTCCCTCCAAAAAAACACAATCTGTAAATAGAGAAGCAGCACAAGAAAAATAACAACTTTGGTATTTCCTAATTTTAACTACTCATTAAAATTATCTACTCCCTGTGGCCGGCACAGTGGCACAGTAAGCTAATTCTCCACCCTGTGGTGCCAACATCCTGGCACCACAAGGCACCAGTTTGAGTCCCCACTGTTCCACTTCCAATCCAGCGCTCTGTGTATGACCTGAGAAAGCAGTGGAGGATGGCCCAAGTCCTCCAGACCCTGCACCCAGAAGAGGCTCCTGGTTTCCAACTTTGGATCGGCTCAGCTCTGGCCTTTACAGCTACTCGGGGCGTGAGCCACCAGATGGAAGAGCTCCTCTATCTCCCCTTTGCCTTTAAAATAAAAATAAACAAGCCATTTAAAATATTCTCTTCCCTGTTGCCTATAACTTTATTTTTTAATATTTAAGATATTACTTTTTATTTGAAAGGCAGAGAGAGATCTCTCCATTGTTTTTATTCCTCAAATGGCTGAAACACGCAGGGCTAGGCCAGCACAAGCCAAAAGCTCAAAGTCTGAACTTCAGCTGGGTCTTCCCAGATGCGGAGAGGGTCTCAAACACCTGAGCATTAGCTGTTGCCTGCATCCTACCCACTACCAACAAACATGCCACATACAGAACTTTACATCTTCACATTTCCAGGAAAAGCTATAAATCTCTTATTTTCTATAATCCTGTCTAGACTGATCTACATCATTTCAGAATTTTGTTATCTAAAATACTTGCGCATACTGCATTTTATGTTTTTTCACCAAAGTCAGAGTAGCACACCTAAGATGGATGAAGCCTCAGATCATCTTCCTTCACTTCCTGACCCATGGAGAAGCCCGCAAGACCTACACTACAGAATTCCTAATTCTAAAATCAAATTCTTGAGCATATTCAAACACAATATTAAAAACAGAAATATACAAAAATAGATTAAGTTCTTCAAATCCTGGAAAAACAATTTACCTTTTCTAGGCAGACTAGAAACATAGAAATGAATTTAAAATCCATTTGAAAAATTTAGCTGAGACTCTACTTCTGAAGTAAATATGATCTGTTTTCATAAATTCTGTGTCCTTTATCTAAGATGATTTAACTATAATCCTGTTAATTTGGAAGTCTCACCACCTAACACTCTCTTACTGAGGGAGATACCAGAGGAGAGAAGCCCTCTGACCTGTTCTACCCGGAGGTAACAGTCCATGACCTACCCAAAGCCCCTCTGCTCTCCTGACAAGCCAGGCCCTCGTACTCTTGCAGGGACTTCTGGAGCACAATCTGGACAATCTCTTCAAATTCTGCATTCGTAAGACTTGATCTTCCCTGAAGAGACAAGAGTGACAGAAAAAGTGATTCTCTTCCCATATGCTCCCTTTCAGACAAGACAATAAATTCACAAGACCAAAAACAAGAGAACTTAATACACCTAAGAAGAATGTAAGTGCTACCTCAGATACTGGGAATAAAGGAGGCAAAGAATGTAATAATATTGATAGTCTGCCCACTTCTATACCACTTCCATCCCACCTCATACACTGTTTCCCGCTAAGCAATTTCATCAAAACATGTTTTACCTCTTTGAGAAGAAAACGGATGCTCTAGAAAAGGAATGTATAAACCTAAAGCCACAGAACAGATTTTCCTACCATGAGAAGATTCTGTTTGTCTGGCCCTACACAGAGTAAACCAGAATGAGCTGTGCTGGGGAGCCCATCAGGGTGAGCCATACCTTTTCTTTCTTCACAGCTTGCTTGTTTTGCTTCTTCTCTGGAGTCTTTCCTTTTTGCTCCTGGCCAATGCCTGAGCCATTCTCTGTATCTGCTTTCTCTTCATTCATCTCTAATCTGGACTTGGGGAGGCGTGGCCTGGCCTTTGCTTCTGGGGCTTTCACCCCCAGAGTCTCTGTCTTCGGTGCCTTAGGATCACAAGGTACCAGGAAATGGGATTTTTGTGTAGGTGGAGCAAAGGTTTTCTTTGGTCCCTTCCCACATTCTGAAAGAAATTTGACCATCAGATGAGATTTATGAAGCATAGTCTAATAGCAACTAAAGCATTACCCATATCGCTGACCATATCAGAATTCTAGAGAGAGAACTTTTAACAAACCAGTTTCCTAGCTCCCTCCCCCCCCCCCCGCCACTCCAACCCCCATCTCTAGGTGTCTAGTGAAGCAGACTGGAGTGAGGCTCAGAAATCTGTTATTTTACATGACCAGCTGATTCTGGCCAGGTTTGGGAACCACTGAGTAAATCAAAACATAAGCCTAAGAGGACTGTTTCTATATCTGTCTTCCCAAAGCATCCACCAGAGTAGTAACTCGAACAGTCGTCACCCACACACAAGAACTGAACAGTCCACCTGTGGGAAAAACTCCAGAACGCGAAGGTGGGAGCAGTGGACACAGCAAACATCCCTCTCAACTCACCTTCTTTATTCTGTACTGTTGTCATCATTCAGTCCAGAAAACTAAATTTTCTTTGCCTCTGCTAGGAAAAAGAAATGAATTGCCATGATTCTAATCAAACAGTACTTTAAACTTGTCTTCTTGGATTCAAGGTCTCTGTGCCTGAGGCCCTGAATTGTATTTCTGCCTTCTTGACAACATTTCTAATTCCCCAGCAGTACCAATCACATACAAGGGAACGATAAGTGTTACCCTTTAATGAGAAATGACAACTAGTGTTTTAAAGGCCTAGAACTGTGTCCAGCACTAGCCTGGCACTCACTGCTAAGTGGGTCTAGCAAGTGTTGAAAATGAAGCAGAAGGGATATCATCAATGTAGTATATGCTACATTTTTTAAAGAGGAGGAGGAGGAAGAAATGGAGGCGTGGGCAGTGGCAGACTAGTGCAGATGGTCGTGGGTGTTAAGGAGGGTGAGTTTTCTTCAGTGGGATACCCTCCTTTCCTAAGAATCTTCTAGAAACTTGAAAATGCAAATAAGCTGACAGCTATCTGACTTAACACAGAGATCCCTAAGCATAGAAAAAACCCTAACATAATGTTTATTTTCCCCTTTCTTGGATCTTCAGTTCAACAAATCTCCGGTGTCACTCTCTCCCTCTCCTTTCAAGAGGAACCCCACCTCCCGGCTCTATCTCATGAGGTGCTTTCCCATTCTCTTTTCTTTCCTGACTCATCTGGTCACTGCATTCGTCCCTGTCTCCAGAGGGGGAAAAAAAAATCCCAATCTCCATTCACAACTCAAATGTACTGGATAACCAGCAGATGTCACCAGAGAGCTGCACCTAGGAATCCAGTAGTAAGAATTCCACCCTCTGGTTGTCACAGCTCATCTTAGCAATCCACTCACATTTTTCTACAGCACAACAAAGTGCTTCGCTGTCATTACTGACCTTGATACTGTTAATAATGGCCAGAATTCACAGATATTGAACTCTATTTTCTAATACCCTTTACATGTATTAACTAATTTAACTCTTGGAACAAATCTATGAGATAGAAACCATTTTACACTTGGAGAAACTGAGGCTTAAAATATTCAGAGATAATTATGTAATTTGCAAATAGTAAAGTCAGAAATAGAACTTGTCTGCTTCTATAATCTGTACTATGCTACACCCTGCCAATGAATGCTCCAACATCACTAATATCATAGCACATATAGGCAACACACATGAAAACATTAAAAGAACTTAATAGGTAAGAATCTGGGTTAAGTCACCCATTCTTTAGTGTCTGGATTCAAATTCTGGCTCTGGCATATGTTACACACCCTGGTAGGCAGCAAGTGACAGTTCAAGTAGCTGGGTCCCTGTCACCCAAACAGGTGACCCCGAAAGAGCTCCTGGCTCTAGGCTTCAGCTATCCCAGGCCCAACCATTGTGACCATTTAGGGAGTGAGCCAGGGGAGAAATGCCCTTTCTCTGGATCTCTCTCTTTCAAATAAATAACAGAAGAGATAACCTTTTTTAAAAAATACATTGAAACAAACAAGAAAATGGCATTTCCAGGTACTTGAGTTTCACAAGACTCATTCTGGGACATGCCAATAATTTTTACATTTTCCGACCTAAACTTTCCTTGTATTGATACTTTCACTATCCATCCCTCTTTCAGAAGAAAATGACCTTTGTCTTATCAACCTTACAGCCTCTTCTATAGAGTTTTCTTTAGGCTCAGAGAATATATGCTTTTTATTTTTATAACACTTACAAAACAATAATTCAGACATCACTTGGAATGCCCACATCCTGCCAGAGAGCCTGCTTCAAGCCCTAGTTCCTAGCTGAGTTCTGGTCTCAGCTCCCTGGTAGTGTACACCATGGGAGATAGCAGTCAGTACTCAGCTCCCTTTGTGGCCTGGGAAAGCAGTCCAGGATGGCTCAAAGTCTTGTGACCCTGCACCCTGGGAAACCCGAAAGAAGTTCCTGGATCCTGGCTTCAGATCAGCTCAGTTCCAGCTGTTACAGCCAATTGGGAAGTGAACCAGCAGTGATCTCTCTCTCTCCTTCACTGGAAATCTGCCTTCCCTATAAAAATGGAAACACCTTGGGCGCCGGGCGAGAGCGTAGTGGTTAAAGTCCTCACCTTGCATGCCCAGGATTCCATATGGTCACCAGATCTAATACCCAGCAGCTATGCTTCCCATCCAGCTCCCTGCTTGTGGCCTAGGAAAGCAGTTGAGGACGGCCCAAAGCCTTGGGACCCTGCACCCACGTGGGAGACCCTGAAGAGGCTCCTGGCTCCTAGCTCTGGATCAGCTAAGCTCTAGCCATTACCGCTGTTTGGGGAGTGAATCATCAGACGGAAGATTTTCCTCTCTGTCTCTCCTCTCTGTCTATCTAACTTTGCAATAACAATAAATAAATCTTTTAAAAAATTGTTTTTCTTGCAAAAGTAGATCAGATTTAGAGAAGGAGACAAAGATCTTCTACCCACAGGCCAATCCCCAAGTGGCCGCAACGGTTGAAGCTGAGCTGATCTGAAGCCAGGAGCTTCTTCCAGGTCTCCCACGTGGGTGCAGGGCCCCAAGGCTTTGGGGCATCCTCTACTTTCCCAAGTCGCAGGCAGGGAGCTGTATGGTAAGTGGAACAACCAGGACACAAACCGGCACCCATATGGTTCCTGGTACATTCAAGACGAAGACATAGCCATTGAGTCATCACATCAGGCCCCTCTTATTTCTATAAATGTAAACAACTGAGATGTGCTATTCTGAAGCAATTACTATTGCTTTACATTAAAGCACACATTATCTCACTGTACCCTTCTAATCACAACCCCACCCCCGATAAAAGCTTTTTCTTCAGAAAAAGAAATGGGAATTTGGGAAACACTGAAGCAAATTTGTCTCTTTCTTCATTATAATCACACAGTATAAAATTTGAGTGCAAAAGGGATATTAATTTGACCACAAATGGCAAACCTATTTTCTCCCAGACTCCAGAAAAGATCATTAAAAAGTCCCTGTGAAAGTAATCTAAATTACAAGGAGGGTTATCTTAAGTGAGAAAAATCAGAATGAAAATTAGTATTTGAGATGACAACTTTGGATTTCAAAAATGTATGTCTACATACCTCACTTGCATATCCATAAATTACCTCTGAATAACACATACAAGACTGGTCAGAGTGGGTGAAAATTAGGGAGAAAGAAGTTGAAGGAACCTTCCCAAGGAACTCCCTCAAGTACCTTTGGCATTTTATTTAAATGGCCAAGTGAAAAAATTTTAAATAACAATAAATTTTTTTTAAAGGCAATGAAAAGAGGGACAGAAACAGAGATCTTCTATCTGTGGGTTCACTCCCCAGATGGCTGTAACGGCCATGACAAGATTTTGATCTCTTGATCTTGATCTCTCCCTCGCTGTAACTCTGCTTTCTAAATAAAATATAAAAATTATAGGCTAAAAAAATCACCTTGTAAGCACTAGGATCCCACATAGATACTGCTTGGCGTCCCGCTGCTCCACTTCCCATCCAGCTCCTTCCTTGTGACCTGAGGAAGCTGCAGAGGACAGCCTAGGTCCTTGGGACCCTGCCCCAGCATGAGAAACCCAGAAGAAGCTCCTGACTCGTAGAGTTGGATTGGCTCAGTTTTGGCCATTGCAGCCTCTTGGATAGTGAACCAAGATATTTCTGTCTTCCCTTCTCTCTATAAACCTTCTAATAAAAATAAACAAATCTTTCAATAAATAAGTGAAATTATTTTTTAAAGAATATTTATTTTAAAGACAGATCTTCCATCTAGTATTAATTCCCCAAGTGCCTGAAACAGTTGGGACTGGGCTAAACCAAAGCTAGTTGTCTAGAAAAGTCTCCCACTTGGGTGACAAGAATCCCAGCACTTGGGCCATCACCAGGCACATTAGCTGGAAACAGGTAAGCAGCAGAGGAGCGGCAGCTTAGCCCAATGTACCAAAACACCAACCTTGACATTTTTATAAATAACCATACATGGTAATTTCAAAAAATGCTTTCTCATTTTATATCCTTTAAAAGTGTTTTAGCCGGGCCCGGCGCGATGGCACAGTGGTTAAGGTCCTCACCTTGCATGCTGGGATCCCATATGGGCACTGGTTCTAATCCCAGCAGCCCCGCTTCCCATCCAGCTCCCAGCCTGTGGCCCGGGAAAGCAGTTGAAGATGGCCCAAGGCTTTGGGACCCTGCACCCGCATGGGAGACCCGGAAGAGGCTCCTGGCTTCAGATTGGCATAGTTCCAGCCATTGTGGCCACCTGGGGAGTGAATCATCGAATGGAAGATCTTCCTCTCTGTCTCTCCTCTCTGTATATCCGCCTTTCCAATTAAAAATAAAAAAATCTTTTAAAAAAAAGTGTTTTAGCCAGCCTAAAAATGCAAACTTTTATAACATTCAGGTTCACATCATTAGGTTCACACAGGTATTCCTAAGTGTGTCTCTGGAACCCCAATCCACTGGTTAGAATTATGGATCATTATTGAGTTAATAAAGTACATAAATTTTTAAACAGAGATGTATAACAGTCCTCCTAATCCAAAGTAAAAGTATGGCAAAAATACTGCTTTTAAAGTAAAGCTGTAGGAGTAACTATTTCAGGAAAGCATGTTAAGTTGCCTACACAGATACCAGTTCAATTCCTAGCAGCTCCACTTCTGATCCAGCTCCTGGTGAGTGTGCCTGAGAAAGCAACAAAGCTGCCTGGGGTCTTGCACCCATGTGAGAGACCAAGAAGCTCCAGGCTCCAGCCTGATCCAGTCCTGGCCTGGCGGATGTCCATTAGAGGAGTGAAGAGCAGATCAAAGACATTCCTAACTTTATCTCTTTATCTCTTTCTCTTTTGTAGCTTTGCCTTTCAAATTAACAAAATAAATGTTGGTTTTTTTTTTAACATGCTGAAAAAAAAAATGCTTAAAAGTTCTAACCCAAGAACAGAAACCTGGTAGTCACTTTTGAGAAATCAGTGCTATGTCTCTGTTTTAGGAGAATTTCCTATTTCTACAGCAACAAATACTGAAAGCAGACAGTAAACATACAGCACCGATTTTCTTCTGAGCAGCAACCAAATGACTAGGGCTCCACATTCAGGAATTGCATGGGAGGTTTTAATTTTTCTTACTTTCAGTCAGAGCCAAACACACACCCCCCCTTCAATGACTTGAGGTAATAAAGAGCCAGGAGCAGTCCATAAACCAGACTGCTCTCAAAGTGAGAAAGGTAAGTAAGCAAGGGAAAAGAACTTAAAAAGAACCAAGAGTAGGTGAATGAAAATCTCAGAAAAATAAGGTTTCCTTTCACTTAGAACACTAAAAATAATCACATTAATTTTGAGATGAAACCACGTAGCCCAGCAGTTCTCACGATAGGGTCCCCACGTCGCCTCACTTTGTCAAAACTACACCACAACAAGAGAGAAACAAATGAGAACCCAGTGGTTTTATATTAAGCCAAACATGGAAGAGTTGAAAAAGGTAAAACCCCATTCTTCACACCTAATTTCCTTTTGCTTAGAAGAATGTAATTTTCGGTAAAAATGACAACATGGAATAGGTTTATCGTTGTTTCCTAAGTTTTTTCTTCTAATTTTCTACTATTTTACGGTCTAGTGTCTTCACATCAACAGTTTCATATCCGATAAAAGCTCTTTGGAGGCCTCCATACTTGAGAGTACAGAAAGATTCTGAGACCAAAACGTCTGAGACCTGAACGGGTGCAATCAATTAAACCGCAAAACCACACATTTCTAATGTATTTACCAACTGCCCCTTCCTCGTTATCCAACGATTTCTTCTTTACACTGGTCTTAAACCCTTGGTCAAAAAGGAGGGAAAAAGAGAGGACAAAAAAAAAAAAAAAAACACAGAATGTTTTCTAACAGTTTCTGAAACTCCAAAACTTGCAATTAAAGACTCTGAAACTCGGGCCGCCTCTGGCTCCCTTTTCTATTCAGGCCTAGAGGCAGACGGCCTCCTGCTTATTTCCAAACTCAAGTTATAAAATTTTCTCTCCTTTCCGTGTGTGCGCATGCACACGCAGCCAACCGAGGATGAAAAAAACAATTGTTTTTTAACAAAAAAAATTGAGGTTGTGGTATCCCGACTGCTCAGAACACTGAGGCCAAGTTCGGAGGCCACGAAGCCGCACGAGGCAACCCACCCCCAGCCGGGCCGCGGCCAGAAAAGGCCTCCACAGGTGGCCCCAATTTTTACCCACTTTCAACGACCCTTTCGGGCAGGCCTCCCCCTAAAGCAGCACATCCCGCAGCCTTTCCCCTCACAGAACACAAAGCTTTTTGTGAGGCTGGGGGATCAAAATCCGCCGGACAAGACCAAAAGGGAGAATTTAGTGCTGGGCTCTCCTCCCACCAGTTCCAAAAAAAGGAAAAGAAAGCAAAGAAAAAGCTAAAATTCTCAAAATTCTCAATGCCACACTCACATAGCCTGACCCTCCTCAAACAAAGGCAGAAAGCTGCTTGCTGGGCTCTCTCCCCCGCCCCCCCCCCCGAGAATCCCACCAGGAAAGAATTTTCCCTCAGTCTCCCCTTCCACAACCCCGCGGTGAGGCAGCCGGAACCTCAACCTTCACTTAAATCGACGTTTTCCCGTCAGAATACTAGGTTACTTTTCTTTTTTGGTTGCCGGAGAGTTGGAGGCTGGCGACTCTGAGAAGATAAAACAGCTGGTTGTCACCCTGAGGAGAAAAACCTCCTCAGAAATAGGTCTGGGGGGTCTGCCGGTCCTAGCCCATTGCTCTCGCCACCAAGCTACCTTTTTGGGGGAGCCAAGAGCGGAGCGAGCCAAGAGCGGAGCGGCCGACGGCACCGAGTCTCCACGACTTTCCCGCCTCGCCGCTTTTTCCCGCCACCAGCGAGAGGCACGAGGCCTCGCACGAGCTCCACCCCTCGCCGGCGTGCTCCCGGGCCCCGTGCGCCTGCGCAGCTGAGGCACGTCTCCATCCCACCCCCTTCCACGGCAGGGCCCGGGAGAACTACAAATCCCATCATTCCAGTGGGCTTCCCCGTCTTTATTTTTGGGAGGCGACAGCGACGCCTGATCGTTCCTGAAAGCACATCTTTCTGTCCCCGATTCTATTCCCTCAGACTGCGTTTGTCGTTCTAGGTTTAATCTCTTGCCTACCATGCTTTCACTACTTTGAAACGCACTCTCGCGCCTCCGAAGCCGAATACTGTCGGCCAGGAGACCTAGTGAACCTAACGCCCGGGGGAGATGACTCCCCGATTCTCGTTGCCCAAGTGAGGGGGGTTGTCCGGGGCTGCAGCCTCCTCCCGCCCACGACGGCGGCGGGCGTGTGTGTGGAGGCGGAGAGGCAGGCGTGGTGTGTCCAGGTGATCGCGATTGGGGGCCACGGCCAGGGGGAAGAGGAAGTTAGGTAACAGCAGCTGTTTTCGTGTTCTTGGCCTTTTTCAATTCGGCAGGGCAGGGTGAGTTCAAAGGACCTACGGAATTTTAACTTGAGAAGAGAGCGTAGGAAAAACGTCCCGCTCGGCGGCCCCGCTCTCAAGCAAGGTGGGCCAGGCTGGGAAGCTCGGGAGGCGGGCGCTCCCTCCTAGGCTCCGCCCCTCGCCCCGAGAGGCGCGCTGACGCACGCGGCGTGCCCCGACCTGAAGGCGGTGACGTCGCAGGCCCCGCCCCCGGGCCGGAGGGGCGGGGCGTCGTCCCCAGCACGTGCTGCCGCTCCCCGCGCCCGCCCACACGCGTGTGCGCAGGCGCAGTCCGCCGAGGGGGGCGGGGGAAGAGGCAGGAGGCGGGGTGGAGAGGTTGTTGGGTTTAGAGCCGGGCGGAGGCCGCGGACGCTCATTCCTCAGGAACAAGGGTCGGGTGTCCAGGAGACCTTTTTCACACCAGCTCCCGGGCCCCCGCCTCCGGTGGGTGGGACCGCGCGGTGGAGACCTAGGCGATCAGTAGGGCCGGACCTAGCTGCGAAGGGAAGTAGCGTGTCATTTTGGGGTGGTGGGCTTCTGGGGGTGGGGTGGGCGTGGGGGAGACTGCGGGCGGGGGGCGTCTATATTTAAACTCGCGGAGCCGTTAAGTTGCTTCGTCCTCGGATGCGCGCGCAGCCGGGGTGGTGGCGGAGCGCGCATGCGTGGCCCCGGGGCGCGGGGCACGCGCTCGGGCCGTGCGCGCTCGCGGCCGGGTGGTGAGTGGTGGCAGGAGAAAGGGGTCGGCGCACGCGCGGTGCAGTCCTCGAGTTGTTGGGTTCTCGCGGGCATCTTGTTTTGGTCTCGCGGGCGAGTGGGGCGCGCTTCCCGGGGCGCGGAGCAGGCGCGAGACCCAGCGAGAAAGAGCAGGGCTGCGCGCGCACTCGGGGAGCGGGGGAAGGAAGGGACCAGGGTCTAGGAAAGGGGTGGAGGGTTAAGTCCCCCCTCGATCCTCCTCTCCTTCGTTACCCTCGTCTGGGACGGAATAAGGGGAGGAAATGATCGAGATGGCGGCGGAAAAGGAGCCGTTTTTGGTGCCGGCCCCTCCTCCGCCGCTCAAAGAGGAGTCGGGCGGAGGAGGGGTCGGCCCCACGGTGCCCCCACACCGAGAGGCGGCCTCTGCCGGGGAGCCCCGCGGCGGCCCGGAGCGCGAACCGGGCCAGCGCGCACACCCCGCAGGCGACGGGGCGAGCCCCGGGGCGCCTGCCACCCCCCAGGCGCAGTCGCACGGGGAGGCCCGCGTGTCGGATCCCCACGGGCGAGCCGCTCCCCTGGACGTGGGGGAGGAGCGCCGGGGAGGGGGCGGGACAGACCTGGGGCCCCCTGCCCCTCCCCGGCCTCGCAATGGCTACCAGCCCCACCGGCCCCCTGGGGGAGGCGGGGGCAAGAGGAGGAACAGCTGTAATGTCGGGGGAGGCGGCGGGGGCTTCAAACATCCGGCCTTCAAGAGGCGCCGGCGGGTCAACTCGGACTGTGACTCCGTGCTCCCCTCCAACTTCCTCCTCGGGGGCAATATCTTTGATCCGCTGAACCTGAATAGCCTTCTGGACGAGGAAGTGAGTCGTGCCCTCAATGCGGAGACCCCCAAATCCTCCCCGCTTCCAGCCAAGAGCCGAGATCCCGTGGAGATCCTGATCCCCAAAGATATCACTGACCCGCTCAGTCTCAACACTTGCACTGATGAGGCGCAGGTCGTTCTTGCCTCACCTCTCAAGACTGGGCGCAAGCGTCACAGGCACCGGGGGCAGCACCACCAGCAGCAGCAGCAGGCGGCGGCAGCTGGAGGGAATGACAGCCACCCTGCGCTGCCCGCTGCCCCCCTTACCCCATCCCTCCACGCCGAGGGCGCCCCACAGCAGCAGCAGCAGCAGCGGCACCGGGGCCAGAGCCGGGACGCTCCCCAGCCCTATGAACTCAACACAGCCATCAACTGCAGGGATGAGGTCGTGTCTCCCTTGCCTGCCGCCCTGCAGGGACCCTCGGGCTCACTTTCAGCCCCTTCTGCTGCCTCTGTAACCTCTGCACCCTCCTCTTCCTCCTCCTCCCGACACCGCAAGCGTCGCAGGACTTCCAGCAAGTCGGAGGTCGGGGCTAGGGGTGGAGGCCAGGGTCCTAAGGAAAAGGGCCGAGGGAGTTGGGGAGGCCGCCACCACCCACTACCTGCGGTTGGCTTCAAAAAACAGCAACGCAAGTTCCAGTATGGGAATTACTGCGAGTACTATGGGTACCGCAACCCCTCCTGTGAGGACGGGCGCCTGCGGGTAATGAAGGCCGAGTGGTTCCGGGGCCGGGACGTTCTGGATTTGGGCTGCAATGTGGGCCACCTAACCCTGAGTATCGCCTGCAAGTGGAGCCCCTCCCGCATGGTGGGCCTGGACATCGACCCGCAGCTCATCCACTCAGCCCGCCAGAACATCCGACACTACCTGTCAGAGGAGCTGCGGCTCCCGACCCAGACTTCTGAAGGAGACCCCGGGGCCGAGGGAAAGGAAGGGACCCCCCCCACCGTCCGCAAGAGGAGCTACTTCCCAGCCTCGCTTACAGCCAGCAGGGGCCCCATTGCTGCACCCCAAGTGCCCTTGGATGGAACAGATTCATCCTTTCCCAACAATGTTGTCTTCGTCACGGTAAGTGAGGTGGGAGTGACTCTTGGGGGCAAGAGATTAAAGGGGGTGTGGCAGTAGGGGGAGGGGGTTCTGACCCTGAGATGGCTGTGTCTTCACTCCTTGCTGGGAGAGCTGTATTCTCCCAGGCTGTGTCTGTCCTGTAACTTGAGGAGATGGGGTCTCTATCTTGGGTCTTTAACCCTAAGACCCTTTCTGAAGACAGCCAGGATGGCCTGGCCTGGCCTGGTCTGGAATCCAGTCCAGCTTCCCAGGAGGCGGCTGCTGCTCCCTGGGGGGTGGGACTAGTGGCAGGGGGAGGTGAGGTTGGTGGCAGGCTAATAACTTCTGCCCTTCCGCAGGGACCTCGGTGGCAGCAGCTGTTTGTGTTTCTCCAGATAGAGCTGGCAAAAGTGTGTCAGTGGGCAGCAACCCAAGGGGCTTGGCTTTTACTTCTAATCCATGTTGACCCCAGATGGAGGGACAACATGGTCGCTGGCCAGAGCTCCCGTCAGACACTCCCCTTGGGCCCTGGTAGAGGGCTGGGTGAAGAAGGGAAGAAGGGGCTTGCACAGGCCAGGGGCTAGCTTACAAAAGAAAGGTCTCCTAAGGGGCGTGGCCCTCCACTTCTGCCTGAGAAGAAAAAAAAAAAAGGCCCAAAATTTGTTTTGACTTTCTGGGAACCTGGCCTAGGTATCCTTGCAGGTTGACTCATCTGTGGGTGGGAAATGTTCAGAGAAACCCAGCCACATAAGGTCTCTACACGTTGACCCCCAGCTTGACCGATTTTATAGACAATTTGCTCAAGTTAAAATCACTCGGTCTCCGTTTTTATGCTTCTTTGGTTTCACACTGGGAGGAAGCAGATGCAAGACATTTAGGGGAGGGGAAAGGAGGCACCACATGTCCCTAAGATGGTGACTGCCTGCGGCAGCAAGGGTGCTCTAGGTGCCTCTGCTCACTGACCTCCCACCACTCTTGTCCACAGGGTAACTATGTGCTGGACCGAGACGAGCTGGTGGAGGCCCAGAAAGCCGAGTATGACGTGGTGCTCTGCCTCAGCCTCACTAAGTGGGTGCACCTCAACTGGGGAGATGAGGGGCTGAAGCGCATGTTCCGGAGGATCTATCGGCATCTGCGCCCAGGGGGCATCCTGGTCCTGGAGCCCCAGCCCTGGTCTTCCTACAATAAGAGGAAGACTCTGACGGTGAGTAGGGTTGCCTGTCAGTGGGACTCAGGACTCACCCTTTCTGGTCCCATGGCAGCGGAGCATGGGGTGCAGTTCCCTGGGGTGGACCGCCTGGGCTTGGGGGAGCAGCAGCAGACTCAAGGGATTCCCTGACTCTTGCTAGGAAACGACCTACAAGAACTACTATCGAATCCAGCTGAAGCCAGAGCAGTTCAGTTCCTACCTGACGTCCCCAGAGGTGGGCTTCTCCAGCTACGAGCTGGTGGCCACCCCCTACCACACCTCCAAAGGTAAGGCTGGCTCTTCTGGTGGGGGGTCCTGTAGGTCTAGACCCTGCCGAGAGTCTAATTGCCATCTCCCCTCAGGCTTCCAGCGTCCTGTGTATCTGTTCCACAAGGCCCAGGCCCCCAGCCACTAAGTGGCCCTGCACTGACCAACCGATCGTCCGTCCATGTGAAGAGGCCGCTCTCCAGGACCTGGGGGAAGAGGAGAAGGGCCCAAGGTCTTTCCTTTCTGACTCCAAATGCCATTTCCTTTCTGGGATCTGCGAAGAAAGCGTTTACTACGCGGCTGTGCTAGCCGCCTCCCCTTGCCCCTGGCACTTGGAGCCGCAAGTCCAGCTGTGCCAGGGTTGCTGTCCTCTTCCTCTCTCCAGCCTGCTGGCCTGGATGGCTTGGACTGTTGGCTGACTGCTGTTCTAGGGTATGGGAGGTAGGAGGTGTCCGCGTGCTCAAGCTCTTTCCTCCTGTTCTTGCGAGGAGATGCCTGTCCCCCCTCAGCCCTTGTGTCCAGCTGCGTTTCAGTGGACCAGGGTGGGCAGACTCGGGGCTGTCGGGGGAGCCTGCAGGGAGGCACCCAGGTACTGTGAAAGTCCTCCCCTCTGCTGTCCCCCAGTGGGAAGAGTGGGCTGGACTTTGAATGTGAGAACAGCACAATAAACTTGATGTCTAGGGCAGTGGGCCCCATAGCTAATTCTAGCACTTTCTAACTGGTGGGGAACACACGGACCCTCCCAGCAGAACCAGTGTTGCCTCTCTGTCAATACCAGTCTTCAGAGAAGACGGCTTATCCGTGGCTGTACAGACCAACGTACAGGTTAAACTCACAAAGCTGTCAGGAGAGACATGATATGAAATGTAAAGTGAGTCTAACTTCCTTCCTCCTCCTGATTGGCCAATGGGGGGAGGGGAGCATTGGGCAGAAGGCTGACTGGAAGGCATCAACATGGCCATGAGAAAAGGACCACTCAAGCCACTCACTCACCCTGGAATGATGAGCATGAAGGCCTTCGGGGGTATGATTCCAGCAACAGGTGCAAGCTAGCAGGGCAAGGGCCTTGAAGGTGAAAAGCAAGGAAATGATTTCAGTGCGAGTGTATGCCTTCAAGGAAGGCCTCCAGGAAGTATGATAGGCAGGGCACTACCCACTTTTTACTTATATTTTGTAAGTCTTATTTATTTTTATTGGAAAGTCAGAATTACAAAGAGCAGGAGAGTAAGATCTTTCATCCACTCCCCAAGTGGCCCAGTAGCCAGAGCTGAGCCAATCCAGAGCCAGGAGCCTCCTCCTGGTCTCCTATGTGGGTGCAGGGACCCAAAGCTTTGGGATGTCCTTGACTGCTTTCCCAGGCCACAAGCAGAGAGCTAGATGGGAAGTGGAGTAGCTAGGACGTGAACCGGTGCCCATATGGGATCCCACTGGTTGCAAGGCAAGAACTTTAGCCACTAGGCTACCATGCCAGGCCCAATAACCACTTTTTTTTAAAGATTTATTGTTATAGGAAAGTCGGATATACAGAGCAGTGGAGAGACAGGAAGATCTTCTGTCCACTAATTCACTCCCCAAGTGGCTGCAACAGCCAGAGTTGAGCTGATCCAAAGCCAGGAGCCAGTAGCTTCTGAATTTGGGAGCAGGGGCCCAAGGCTTTGGGCATCTGGGACACAAACCAGCATCCATATAGGATACCAGTGTGTGCAAAGCAAGGACTTTAGCTGCTAGGCTACTGTACTGGGCCCCTGTACCCACTTCTGAAATAGTGGGGTGGAAGCCAGCATCATGGCTCAAAAGGCTAATCCTCCACCCTGTGGTGCTGACATAACAGAAGCACCAGGTGCCATCCAGCTCCGTGCTTGCAAAGACCGAGGATGGTGACTGAAGTCCTGGAGATCCTGTATCCGTAATAGGAAACCCAGAGGCTGCTTCTGGCTCCCGGCTTCGGATCAGATCAGCTCTGGATGTTGGGCCATTTGGGGAGTGAGCCGCAAATGGAAGATCTCCGTAAATCAGCCTTTCAGATAAAATATATTAAAAAAAAATAGTGGGGAAGACAAAAATAGAGTGCTAAAAAGGGGGCCCCTGCCTTCCCTGGGTGGGGTGAGGGGCAGGCAAGCAGCCTTCAAGTGCACAAACCCCTGCAGGAACCTCAGCCCCATCTGCAGGTTTCCACGAATCCCATTTGTTAGCAAAATAACTTTATTCTGAAAAGGTTTTCCAACACAAAAACAGAAAGCTGCCATCCGGGAGGCGCTCAGACCTAGGCTTCCCACCGCCTCAGCGTCCGATGCATCAGAAAGGTGTCTTCCGAGGGGCGGGGCCGGGGTTGAAGTCGAAGTGGAGGTAGCCCATCCAGGGTCAGGTGTGGAGATTCATAAACTAATGTTTCTGGGTCACACAAAATGGTCATGTCGGGCCCTGGCCCGGGTGGCTCCTGTTGGAAGTCGGGGTCCCGACACAAGATTACACTCGGAAAAAGAATAAGGCGTCTGCCACGGGGTTGGGACGCGGACACGAGGGGGAACCCCAAGTATTTGTCCCTTCACCTTTGGGGCCGGAGCTCGAGCCTGGGGCGGGAGAAGCGCCAGTTTCTCCCTTAGCGCAGCATTGAGAACCTGCTCCTCCGGCACCTGCAAGCTCACCAGGTCCCGGAAGAGCCGCTTGGATCGCGGCACGTTCAGTCCTGGGTGCGCGGGAAGGGCAGAGGTGAGAGACGCCCCCGCGGCTGGCACCTGCCCCTGCTCCCGGCCGGCCGCCTGCGCCCCTCACCCTCGGTTACGTTATCCTCGAGGCCGCAGCGGACCTGGAACGACTTTCTCAGCTGTTCCTCTACAGCCTTGGTGGCATCGAACTGACCCCCGGCCGCGGCGCGCGCCGCCTGCAGCTCGAGGCTCAAGGCCAGGCTGCTGTGCGGCGCCGGGTACTCCAGCTCCTGCGGCGCCTCGGCCCGATCGTTCGCTGCAGCGGCCGTCGGCAGCGACTCGGACCTGGCCGGGGAAGCCGGCGCCAGACGGAAACGGACCTGGGAGCAGAAAGCAGGGCTCGTGAAGGCATGGGAGCGGATCGGGTCCGTGCAGGGCTCGGGGTCAGGCTTGCCCCCCGTCCCCGGCTCACCTGCCGCCCCCTCCGAGCCCCGTCCCGCCGCCGCCGCCGTCTGGGACTGCCGTGCCGCGGCTCCAGATCCTCCGGCCGCGGGCTCAGGCTCAGATCCAGGCCGGGCTCCGGCAGCGGGGCTCGCGGTTCCGGAGCTCGGGGTTCTGGGGGACGTCCTGGACCCACCACGGCTTCCTCCCCTTCCACCGACTCCAGCTCTGAGTCCCCACGGCTCCGCATCTTACTGGAGCTGCAGGGGTGCAGGCCCGCGCGCGGGCCAAGGCGCACCAGGTGCAGCCACGCCACCCCGCCCCCTTCCCCTCCCCTCCTCGACTCGGAAGCCGGAAACCGTTAGCGCTTTCCCCCTGGAGTCGGGACGCCCGGCTCCTCCCGGCGTGCGCTCCTCGTCGTCATTTCCCTCGCTCCGCCTCTCGCTTTCCAGGCGAGCGGTCGTCGGTCCCACCTGACACCGCCCCGAAGCCCAGAGACGCCTACGGGTACCCGACAGGGCCGTTTCTTGCAAGAACCAAATAGAGCATTCTTGCCCGGCTTGGGTAGACGGTCAGCGTGTATTGGGGCTCCAAGTGTCCAGGTGGGGCAGCTTTAACTTCACGACCTAGTGCTTTCGCAGCTCCCCACTGGGGGCCCCAATGAGGACTGATGCACGCAGGGAGCTTGGGTGCGCAGCTCGCCGGCCTGGGCTAGATGCCCCTCTTGGGCAAGAGTCCCCCTCTTGGCCTGGTATCCCAGCTTGCTGCTGTGTCCCTCTGGGAAGCCCCAGGTGGTGACCGCTCCAGGCCCGGGTCCCTCCTTGACACCCACGCGGGAGACCTGGGTGGAGTTCCTTGAGTCCTCGGCATGGTTGGTGGGCATTTGAAGAAAGAACTAGTAGATGGGAAGTCCATCTTTTACTGTCTCTACTGAAACGATTTTAAAACTAATTTTTACAGCCCTGAAACCCTCAAAACAAATATAAGTGCCTATTTTTTAATAGCCATAAAATATTTAAGATTTTATTGGAAAGGCAAATTAACAGAGAAAGATCTTCCGACTGTTGCTTCACTCCGCAGTGGTGGGAGCTGAGCCCACTGGAAGCTTCTTCTGTGTCTGCCACGCAGGGGCATGGTCTCAAGACTTTGGTCCAACCTTCACTACTTCCCCATGTCATAAGCAGGGAGCTGGATCAAAGTGGAGCAGCCACGGCAGTAACTGGAACCCACCCATATGGGATGGCAGCACTTGCAGGTAGAGGATTAGCCAACTGTGCTAGGGCTTCAGCCCATAAATCTCCATAAACATCTTAAATTGACTGTATTCATTTTATTGTTGGGAGTAAGTGACAGTACATAGGCTAGAAGAGATGATAAAGGCGAGTGTTGTGACACAGTGACTTAAGTCATCCCCCAGGACAGTCACACCCCAAACTGAAGTGCCTGGTTTGAGTCCCATCTCCACAGCTAACCCAGCTTCCTGCCAGTACACTCCTTGAGAGGCAGCTGTGAGGGCTTCAAGTATTTAGCCCCCTGGCACCTTCCTAGGATGCCTAGATGGAGTTCTGGGCCCCCTGCTTGGGCCTAACCCACCCCTGGTTATTGCAGGATTGTGGGGAGTGACCAGTGGAGGCAAGATCTCTTTCTCTGTTGGTGTGTCTTTGAAATAAATAAAAGGTTAAAAGCAGGTGATAGTGTTGATGTTATATTTGGCAAAGGAGATGGAGCTGTAGAAGCAAAGCAGGGTATCAGTAGGGTGTTTGGATAGGAATCTATACAAATTCATTATTTTGCGTTAAGTTAAAAAAAATATATGCTAATTCTACCCACAGGAAAGTTCCTTAGAAACAGTGGCAGGCCTGGTCAGTGCTTCTGGCAGCCAGAATGCCGTCCCTAAATTCCTTATGTTGGGCACTTAAATACCTGCACACAAATTTTCATCTCAGCTTTGATCATTGAAACCCAAACCTGGAAACCACCTAAGTGTCCCTCCATGGGTCAATGTTTAGGCCACACGACGTGGACTAACACTCAGCCGTAAGAGAGCAAAACTATGGGCAGAACTTCGTAATCCAGTAATGACCCCGAGCAGACAATAGCCAATCACAAAGCTCAGGGGCTGTATGGCCGCATTCAGACAAGTCGGAAGTGATGCGAGTTTAGCAACAAGGCAAATGGTGCGGCTGGCAGGTGTGAGGGCATGAGTAAAGTGCTGACAGAAGGGCTGTGGATGTGGTTGTCAAGCAGTGCCGTCAGGTTCATGGGCTGCTGGGGTAGTCTTCCTTTTCACTGTGCTGGTGAAAACATAAACATCACCAAGTGGTCCAGGGTCTGGCACTATAGCTCAACTGGCTTATCCCTCCACCTCCAAGTTCTGGCATTCCAGAATTGGCATACAGGTGCCAATTCGTGTCCTGACTGCTCCATTTCCCAGCAAGCTCCTTGCTTGTGACCTGGGAAGGCATTGGAGAATAGCTCAAGACCTTGGGAAGCCCACATAGGAGACCCTGCAGAAGCTCCCGGCTTCAGATCAACTCAGCTCCAGCTACTGTGGTCATCTGGGGAGTGAAACAGCAAATAGATCTTTCTGTCATTCCTCTGTGTAAACCTG